AAAAAAAAAATAAAAAAAAAAAGTTTTTAAATGTTTTTATTTTTTCTGCGTGGTGATAACTCAATTTACGCGTTCTGCCGGTTGTCCTTAAATACTCATAATAGTTAAATCCCGCGCAGCTTATATCCGTTTCAAACGTGATGAAATGTCGCCACGTACGTACCCTCTTTTTTTTTTCACAAAAGAACGCAATTTTTTTTTTTTTTTTTAGAAGCTCAGGGAGCATAGACTGAGTTATCACCATAAAAAGACAAACTCAAAGACCTCTGCTCACTTTAACGCCTAAACATTTCTATTATAATGAATCTATGCCCTGATGTTTATCGGCTTCGATAATAGCCGCACATTGTTTACAACCTGTCGTTCATTTATCTCTTCTCTTATATGCATGGTAAGATTAAACAGTGCCTCCAAACTTGATCTCCTTTTACCTTGTATTCACTCAGATATACTCCATCAAACGCAGTAATTCGCTGTGTTGAGCAGCCTGTACACCTAGAGTGCGAAGATACAGCTTCCCCATTCAAAAAAAAAAAAAAAAAAAAAAAATTGAAAGCTTTTTTTGATGCCCCTTTAATTCTCAGACATTTCTACTGTACTGTAACCAGGGGCGGATTTAGAGGGGGAGGGGGGTGTCCGGATGTCATGACCCCAACTCTTGATTTTTGCATGTGTAAAAATTTAGGGCGTGGAAACGGGGGAAGGGAGTTTCCTAAACATATGGTACGCTGACCAACACCTGACCCCCCCCCCCCCCCCCCCCCCCTTCCTTCCCGAAATTCCTGCATCCGCCCCTGACTGTATCTACAGTATATCAGAACTAATGTTATCAGCTTGGGTATTACAATGTCTGCCTTGCCCGTGCCTCGAAACTTGACCTTTTTTTTTTTTTTAATCTTGTGTTTAGGCTTTTGAAACGATCTTATAAAGTGCGCGCAATATTGTAGCAACTCGGGAAGACGTCATCAAACGGTAATGCACTACACTAAGTGACCTTGGGTACGTGCCATGCCCCTGCCCGACCCCCGGGGTTGCTATCATCGAATGTGCCGCTGGAGGCGTCCTTCACGGCCCTGTGCCCCTCAATATTGAGTCAGGCTGTTCACCCAGTGGTCGTGAAAACTCGCACGCAAGTACGGCGCGAGCGGCGGCTGCCCTGCCAAAACAACACCTGTCGTCAACCGTCCCCTTTTGTCTATTTGCGAAGGAGCTTCCCCCCTGGTGACGTCACGCGGATTTCGCCATTGTTGTCGACCTGTCACCACTGTCACTTGTCCGGGCCGATCCACCGAACATGTCGGATTGGCGGTGCGCCATCAAGAGACGGGTTCGCACCAAAAACTAAAAATATAACCCACTTCTTTTCATGCGGTTCCTTCGAGAAGTTCCACAGATTCCGACAAAACCGAAAGAAGAAAAAAAAATATGATGCAAGAGAAACTTCGCTTGCAGAAGAATAGTTACATTTGGCTGACATCGCGAGCGATTTTGAAGCAGCATGAAGTTGAGACCCTTTCTGAACTTAAATATGTCGGAATAAAAATCCAACGCCAGTCGAACATCGCACGACGAGATGCGGTGATGCGGTAGTGCCACCAAATGAACGCCAACCAGGACGAACATGACGTCATCGGTGACGTAATTCGAAGCAAGACTTCTTGTTCGTTAAACCTAATTAATAGTAGGTAGATCGTCACTAGGGAAGTTTCTGTGTGCGAATATCGTGACTTGCCCAGTTGTAAAAAGATAAGAAAACGCCTGCATGTCAAGCACGTGTACAGACATGATCTTTGGCTCAAACGAGCACCCAAACAAATACCGAAAAAAAAATTTTAAAAATGGCGGATGCTGCCCAAGGGTCGTTGTCTCCTTATCAAAAGCTCACAATCCATTATTTTTTATTTTTTTTTTTTTTTATGGGCCGACGAAAACGTAACATCCGGATCCTTTCTTTGTCCATAAAACATGTCTGGGCGCATCCACGGCGTTTTTCTGCCCTTCCCTTTGACGCCTCGACTCGCCCAACTGTTAACTCCCTTCCTCTTTTCTCGCGACATGACTCATCGCCCGCCAAGAGAAAGCGATAAAGAAAAGAGGAACGGTTAAACATAACTTTCTCACTTAAACCTCACGAAGAAAAATAAAACGCCAAACACGCAGGGCGTACTCTTTCAGCAGCAGACTGGGAGAGAAAAAAAAAAAAAATAATAATAATAAAACCGCGGACGGTGGGTGTCGTCGTGTATACAGAAACATCCGCGTATGTGGGAGAACCGCGCGAGAAAGAAGCCTCAAAAGTCCAGCTAGCTCTATCTGGGCTTCTTAAAAACAAATAATAATAATAATAAAAAAAAGAAAAATACCAAAACGACGCGTCTTGCGCGCTCTTTGCGGCCTAGATCTTTTCCGAGAGGACAGCTTAGCATCCCACGATCATCCCGGTGTCGTATTTATCTAGGGTTCCGTACGAATATTACATGCTCGAAGAGCCCAAACATTTAAAACAAAAAAAAAAAATGAATGGCGATATATATTGAATGCAATCACAGTTTTCTGCTACAAATAATTGGATTGAATTCGCGATTATAGCAGCGCGCGCAAGCACTCAAGGTTCTGCACCTCTCCACTGAAAGAACCGCATCAACGATTATCAAAATTCTCGATCCTCAACAATAAATACGTTTAAAAAACAAAATACCCACAATCGAAAAAAAAAAAGGATTTTGGATGAATTAGCGCGACACCAGGAAAATCACTACGAGCCGACCACGCACATATCACGCACATATTACGTAATTGATATATCATTTAGTCAACGGTCTTGCAACTATGAGCGTGATTTCTTGGAAACATGTTCCAACGAAGTCGTGAAAAAAAAAATGATAAAGCGTGATTTCTTGGAAACATGTTCCAACCAAGTCGTGAAAAAAAATATATATATATAAAAGGAACAGCTACAAGTTCGCCTTTAATATCTTAGCTGTCCTAGCGCCTCACAAAGGGCCGACATCTATAAGAGTCTGCTGATAAGGGAACCTTTGTATAGCCTCGAAGAACTGGGGAGAAACTGATAATGCTCTCACACGCTACATCTTGCCTGCAGGCAAACAACCCATGGCTCCCAAACATCCACGGTACAAATAATCCTTACAAGAAAAAAAAAAAAAAAAGTGTTTGTATTTCGATGTTTACGAACCGAAAGCACGCATTGGCAAAGTGGCAAAGGATATCCTTTGGCGACTAAACTCTCAACAGCCTTAACGGAGCGATAAAAAACGACATCGGCCCAGTATATACTGCAGTCAGACGAAACCGAATTAGCGTTGTCCTTCGAAACGTATATGAAACGCGGGCTTGTGTGTTGCAATTGATCGATCAGCTGTTTTCAGCCAGGCAGCTCCTAGGAATACGGATAACTTACTTCTCGATTCAGTTCAGCCTTTCCAACGACGGTAGGACCATTGCCGCGTCACTGAGGAGGTGCTGTGTACTGTGGACACGAAGGCTATGTTCCAGATCTTACCCGAGTAACCTGCCTCCTACGTCAGCGGGTAATACCACGTGACATCGCGAGTAAACGATCCGCGACTCGATTTTAGAACGGCCAGGATAATCACCTGGATACTACGCGGATTGGCTTCGTCTTGGGCGACGGCAAAAAGAAAACACAGCGGCGATGGCAGAAAATAGCAGACGATCCTTTTGATCATGGAGAAAGCACCCGAAGAACGGTAATGTTAATGACGACGCGGTGTATTTTGAGGTGAATCCACCAGCTCCTTTACTCACCTTCGTTTTGAGCTGTGTATTGAGATCAAAATGACTTACTCCTTACAGCTAGACAAAAAGATGTGTTTTTATTAATCAGCGCGATCGCTGCAATTCTAGTCACGGTGCCCTAAACGCATATATTCCACGCATTGTAATTTGCACCAATTATGTTTTGCAGAAATATATTCCACACGGTGTAGCGGTACAGCGCGAGGGTGCTTTCTCCAGAATGATATGAAACTCACGTTCGCTTTGACGCGAATGTGATTGCAGTGAAATTTTCGAAGTCTTCACTGCTTTACAAACGTTATCCTCTCATTACACACACTCTGGAGGAAACAAAAATATTACATTATCATATGCCGAGTTCAAACATTTTCGGCCTTGAACGTGAGATTACGGCATTCCCCCAACGCCGAGGACGAGGATGCGGAGAAGCTCCTGTTTACGCTCGCACTCAGAAAATAACAAGTACACGTTCCCGGGGAAGGTGGGCGGTCTGGATGTAATGCAGTCAATTCCTGCGTTGACAACAGCAAATCGCAATAAACACACATGCTGCACCTAATTCTTTGTCATTTCGAACGTCCGCCACCAAAACCAACGGAGCAAGCGAGCTTTGACGGCTGTCGGCGCAGAAAGCAGACGATGAACAGATCACGTGACGTACTTACTCGATTTGATCCGACTTTACCCCCCGATTGAGGAGGGTAGCGCGAGTAATTACTCCGGAGTAAACAACCCGCTTCTGGAACGCGAGTTCTGACGTCATCGAGTAAGCTCGAGTAAGTTTTGGAACGCCACGGTACGAAACTTTTACTCCGGAGTCGGATCGAGTAAATTTTGGAACACAGCCGAAGAGATCGCCGAGAGATGATGAATCACAACAGGTCGCGATACATGGTGGAGAAAACCGCGGACAGACACTCCACGCAGCGCGAGCGAGGGAGCACCACGGAACAGTGCGAAATTTGCAAAGCGCGAAAACACCGTCGTGGGGCGCTGCTTCGTCCTTTTACTCTATTTACACTTCTCTTTAAATAAATTTCTTAATTTGTTTTCTTAACAGAACGTGTTTAATGATGGTGTCTCAAATCAGGTTTCAATATCTTGAATAATAACACGGATTTCTGGTCTCGCGGGTCCCATGTAGAGCAGGATAAGAACTCAACTGTAGTCCAAAACCACAAAACTGTGACTCACAAAAAATATATAAAATACCCGCCTTTAATCAATTGGACGGATATGTCTGTGATGATTACAATCATCATAGGTACACAAAAAAAATTATATAGTTGAAGAAACTAATATAGCTTTGCAAATCAGGCGCCGCGACACCGGTGACGCGGCGCGTGAAGATCAAAAGCCGCATCGCGACCGGCATCAACTATCGCCATCAAACAAGACAAAGGTTGATCTCGGGCTATTTTGCAAGGCGTTTGAACCGATTTCGAAAAGTGCACTAACATCGAGCGCATTTAATGTGAGCCCGGTCTTCGCCAGCAGCGGCGACAGCATCGACGAAAACCATAAACCCCCCGGCGCCGAGCCCCCGAACACACGCGCACCGGCACCCCCCGTGAAACAAGCGCCATGGCGGACGCCGACACTTCCGTGGAAAACGGCGACGGACTGTCCGAAGCCCAAGAGAACGGCGATCACCACGATTCGACCACCGAGCTTCTCGACGAAAGCTTGGGCGACGAACACGGCCTCGACGACCCCGAACTGGAAGCGATCAAGGCGCGCGTCCGCGAGATGGAGGAAGAAGCCGAGAAGCTCAAACAGATGCAGAACGAGGTGGAAAAACAGATGAGCATCAGCCCGCCGGGCGGGTCGCTAGGCCTAACGCTCGAAGAAAAGATCGAAGTGGACGCCCGCTCGATCTACGTGGGCAACGTCGACTACGGGGCGACCGCCGAGGAGCTCGAGCAACACTTCCACGGCTGCGGCTCCATCAACCGGGTGACGATACTCTGTGACAAGTTTTCGGGCCATCCCAAGGGCTTCGCCTACATCGAGTTCACGGACAAGGATTCCATTCAGACGGCGATGGCTCTCGATGAATCGCTGTTCCGCGGCCGGCAGATCAAGGTGATGACGAAGCGTACCAATCGCCCCGGGATTAGCAGCACTAACAGACCGCCCCGGGGCCGGTTCCGTCGCCCGACGCGCGGCGGAATGTACTACGGAGGTGGCGGCGGTGGCGTCGGCGGGGGATACCGTTTTCCCAGGCGGGCTTTTCGACCGCGTCGGGCAAGTTGGTACTACCCGTACTGAAGCCTCCACGTCGTTCACGCCGTGCTGATGTTTTTGGGCCCGCCGAAATCGGTCAGTTCCGATCAAGAAAGAAAAGAAAGTAATCTTGCGGGGGCGGCGGGGGGCCCGAAGACGCGGGCTGCTGGTCCGAGCTTTAAACGCCGGTCAGGCGTCTTTGCGTGGGCCTGCTGTGTGGAAGAGGAATGACGGACAAACTTTTTGGGTTTGGAGTTTATTTTTGATTTGTTTTCGATAGAGGGGGGGTGCGCTAATGACCCTCATCTTTTCCTTCCCCCCCCTCTGCTGTTCAATCCTCCATCGTGTTATACCGCATTGGCAGCATGTTCTGTTCCATTTTTTTTTTTTTTTTTTTAAGTCAGTTCCGTTCCCTTGGGTGCCCTACACACATACAAAAAAAAAATGCACACATTTAGCTCTTTTCTTCCTTGGTTGTTATTTTCCCCGTGCTCGGTAATCCCCATTTACTTTATGCTTTTTTTTTTTCTGGTGTAATGTTAGGTATATTTGAGTGTGTTTTGCTTGTTTCTGGGGGGTGGAAAATCTATGTTGTTCGGGAAAAACAAAATTTGCTTCGTTGGGAAATAACGAAGGGGGTGCAGTACTGCGTGATGTGCTCCCCCGCTCTGCGTATTTCTTCCCTGCCATGTCAGCTGAAGAAAAACTTTCTTTCAACCTTTTCTTGTGTGTTTTGTTTTTGTGGGGAAGGCACCACTCTTGTCCAATCAATTTCTGGGCGTCTGCTTTTTTTTTTTTTCATTTTTTTTTTTCACGTATGTAACATCATTTTTTGAATGCTATTCACCCTACACTGACCTTCAGGTGCTGTCACCTTTTTGTGCCCGGAAGGGTGCAATATATGATACGCTAAAGCTAGAAAAGGGGAGGGGGTCAGGGGACTATACGGACACCTGCAACATGCGGCTGAAATCATTGGGTGGGAATCTTAAGAGATATGTAACAAAAAAGAGCAAACAGATTCAAAAAAGAAAAAAAAAACCTTCATCAATAGAAGAATAAATTACACACATAGAGATATCAGTGTATGTCTGTCGATGTTTTAAATAAAAAAAAAGAGCTCGATTGTGCTGGTTGTTACTGGTGCCGCAATAAGTACAAACTTGCCCGTAGTATAGTCGCATGTGCCACATGATCGTTGTATGTTGCCTAGTTTGCTCCGGGGGATGATCGTTGGTAATGAATGAGACACGCCCCATCAATCTGCATGCGGGCCAGCGGGTATCTTCTAGCCTGGCTTCACAGCATCATTCTTCGGCATTGGGCGCTCAAATATCTGCGGGTGTCCCACACATTGATGAGTGAGCCGTCTCTTATGACTTTGAGTCTTAGCTGCTATTAAGGATGCAACCATCGTGCGCCTAGCGGTCAAGCTAAGAGTTGAAGCCATCAGGATGCGCTCGGCTAACGTAGCCGGACACTGTCAGAATTCAGCCAAGGAACGTGATTAATTGGTAAAGCGCCACTTGAACCACCCAAATCCCAGCTGAACTTTGACACAGCGCTCTCTGCACCCCGCGTTCCATTGAGGACGGCAACTTCAAAAAATTCAATTCGCTGGACTCGTCTGAAGTAAATGCTGGACTAGTGTAAAACGAGGTGGAACAAGGCACTTCGGATAATTTCGATCTCGCCGTATGAGCCGTCAGTTTTTGCAAAATACGCCGATGCCTGCAAAATCTGCTGCTGCCCAGTTCTGCGGGGATGCAGTGTGGTTGTCGGTGGAGCATGCAGTGGTTTCTCCGGGAGCACTGCAGTAAACGAGCTGCATTTCGAGGAAAGATTCACTATGTGACACTTCACGAGTGTGACTAACAGTGAAGGCATTTTCTTCTTTAGTGTTCACAGTTTTCGGAGTGCCGTTGTGGCGCTGCTGCGGGCATATCGATGCTAAAACTGCATGCTGAACAGCCTTACCATTTTCTCGCTGGACGAACGAGTGAGTGTCCTTCTAGCCCACCATAGTACAGCCTCTGGGTGCTGTCATTTTGCTAGTGGCACATGTAGATTGTGTGATAGTCGTGCCCATGACCTACTGTAAACCGCCACACCTCGTGCACCTTCAATTAATATGCAGATACCCTAGGAATCAAAGAAGCCTTTAAGCAGCGCCGAGAAGTCATGGCGTGACGAAACACTGCAGCCATGGCAGGCACGTATCAAGGGGGGGGGGGGTCCATGGGGCATCTTCCATTTTGCTGGGGCCTCTGGGGCCTCCTCTCCCCTTTCCGCCTCGTAGAGCATTTTGTCGTGGGCAGGCCCCCCCCCGAAACGAAATCCTGGCTACGTGCTTGGGCCATAGCCATGTTCTAAGAGGTGCATGCTGGCACATTCTTCTCTGGGCAGGTCAGCATTACAGTAGGTCATGGTCGTGTCTTGCTGAGAATTTTTTTCGAGGGGGGGGAGGGTTCTGGCTCACTTGCTGAGACCACAACTTCCCAGGATTGGGAGAAGGGGGGTGGGGAATGGATATAAGGGTAAAAGGGCATCATTCGAGCCGCTAGGGCCCCGAGGTCTGTTTGAGTAAAAGAGAATGAGCCTATGATTTGCAGGATTGTCACCATTCAAAAGGCTTCTTATAATCTCCCTCCCAACGTGGAGAGAGAGGCGGCTTGCAGTTGGCCGAAGAGTGCCATCGTCACTGCGCTGACACCGCTGCTGGGGTATGCCCTGCCTTTCCTGAGCAGAAAAACCTGCTCATAAAGGCATGTGTCTCTACCTTTCATCACGTTTTTAATAAAAAAGATTGGCGTTGCGTGATTGTAATTTTTGAATTATTAGTACGCTTAAAGCCTGTAGAATCAGTTATGACCAAGAACAAACGAATGCAGAATCCTCTTTAGTGCCCCTTTGTGGGGACCGTTGGTCACCCTTCCCCGATGGCCGGTTATGTGGCCGTGGATCGGAATGCTGGGCCTGGTTACCATGAGCTCCAACCTGTTCGTGAAGCAGAGTTGCCTGGCTTGAGGTGCTCTCCTCTTCACTCTCCTGGTGGGATCTTTTTCCGTCCTCCCGCTCATCCGGAAACTTGCTTGCTTTGGGTGAGGACGACGCCCGCGGGGGAAGGAGGTCAACGCGTGTTTCCGACTGGGGGTATGAGGGACTCCTCCCGCGGATGTGATAAAGATTGGATGTGTGGCGAAGGACTTCCTATCCTCGCTCTGGACTGCGCTCTCGGGATGGTGTCGACAAGGTGAGCCTTTCATGTGACGTTGTCGGTGTGGGGGTTTTGGGACAGTGTCTTGCATGCGGTGTTCTAATGAACACCGTTGGACCCAGTCCTATTGTGGTACATGCTCCTCCTTTTTAGAGAAGCGATCAGTTGTGCGGCTGACGTTCGGACCCACCCATAGCGGTGTTCTCGAGAGAAAGCTGCGGGGTATGGGAGTAGGTCTGGCGTCTCTTGACTAGAGAGCGCCGCTGAACCCTTTGGTTACCACCACTCGTGACCATCCGACATAGTCTAGGGGATGTGGGGATTTCTGTGATCTCTCTTCCCTGATGGCTGTGATAACGGCTGCGGGTCGGAACGCTCGACCTCCTGCGCTGCGAGCTCTGACCTCTTCGTGAAGCAGAGGGTCCCCTGTCTTGGAGGGCCCGCCTCTCACTGTTTCACGGGGAGACCCCTTTCCATTCCCATGCTTGGATGCATGCAGATCACTGCCAACTAGCAAGGGGGTTTCTCCTCGTCTTTCCCCGCTTTCAGGAAGGGGACTCATCTGGTGACTGCGAAAGAGATAGGACGTGTATCGGTGACTTCTCTGATGTTCTCCCGCTTTCTGACTCTCCGGAACCCCGCATCTAGCCGGTAAGGACCTTTTCTTACCTTGCCGGCGCGGGGGGCGTTTTGGGTGGGGACATAGTAATTAATCTTGAGAGTGTTGTAATAAATGCTTTTGGACTCTGTCCTTACTGTGGCATGTGTGTCTTCTTTTCTGCTATATTCGAGAGTGGGAGACAAGGTAGTCAATCATTTGCACTGACTGAGGTATTTATCGAACCGACCCGCGGTAATGTAACCCTAAACGTCGTCTGCATTGCCGCGGAGATGGGACCGTGCTACTAGGTTTGACGTCTCCTTTGAGATCACTGCTGCTGTTGAGATGACCCTTTGGTTACTCCATCAGTACCTCTTTTGATAGTTAACGATTCCCCACACCTTTAATGGTGTGGGGGGGGGGGGGGCAGTTGCCCCCTCCCCTCCTTTGCCTTTCTTAAATCCACCCGTGGCCTATGTACCACATTGTGAAGGAGGCTTATCCAAGATCTAGCGTCATGTAGCAGGTTATGATTACATGTCGAAGATCTCCAGGTGGTCTAAATTAATCCTTAGACCTTTGCTGGGGTTTTCCAGATACCCTTTGTTAGAGTCACTGATGAGAGCGTGAGAACAGTGGGGAATCTACCATAAATAAACTCAGCATTTTCGGCAAAAAAAGAAACTCTGAAAAGCACCCTCCGAATTTCACGAAAAATAAGCTTCGAAAACACGAAACCTCAGTTCTGGCGTGCAGCACATAAGAACAGCATGCTCTTGTTGCTTTTCGACATGCTCTGCCTGTGTGTGCATTGGAGACGGGATAATTGAAAGACCTTCCTGCCATTTAGACCCTGTCAGTGTCTAGAGAAGTTTACCGGCTTCCAGAACATTGAGCCAAGATGGCAATCGATTGATTCAAGTGTGCCGTCTCTTTACCAGAAAACGTCAATCAGTCGTTTGACTGCGTGCACTGACATTTTCAAAGAAGATACAGCGAGGTGGTGGATGTGTGCTTTCTTAAAATGGGGGAACTTTTTTTTTTTGTGTATGTCGAGAGATCCTGCCAAGCTTATTTCTTGCCAAACAATGTTTTGGGCCATGGAGGCCTCTTCTGTGACAAGTTCGTTGATAGGTTGGATTCCCAATATTGGTGCCTTTAGCCTGCTAATATCTTTTTTTTAGTTAATGCCTTGGCGACCTTTGACACCACGGAAGTCGCTTTCTCCTATATAAAAATAACAATTTTGGTAATTCGTTATAGTCACATGATCGCATGTGCAGAAAATTTTGACGATGTAAGTATGCACCTTGGTCATTCCGACCATGTGGATATTTCCGGAAACTTGCAATATACTTGCTAGTTGTATGAATTCATAGCCCATTAAAGTTATTTTTCCTATAAAATTTTCCTTGTTCATACATTGGTAGAGGAAACCTTGGACAAACAATTGCACAGTGCAGATTTGGGTAAAGGGGAGGGGGGGGGGGGGGGCAGACTTTCTGGTAGAATATGCTTGGAGGTTCACATTGCAGCTTTGGAACTCCATGCTTCGTCATCATTTGCAGAACCTCAATTCGAGGCATCAGCAAAGAAGCTTGTTACCCCACGCATTCTATTTTCTATTTTTAGTGGTGGCTGTCTGGACTCTTTCCCACTATGTGACTTACAGCGCAATAACACTGTGTGTGACAGCACTCCCTCTTTATCTGCCTGCTGCGTCAATGTGACTCATTCTGCCTCTGACTGTACCTTCTGCAGTATTGTGTTTGGCTAGCAAGTTGCAAAAAAAAAAAGAAAAAAAAAAGCGTTGCTGCTCGCTGTTTTAAAAAATTACCCAGCTGCATCTTTTGCTTTTTTTTTGTATTTCAAGCTCATTTGATGATTTCGTAGAAAATAGGCTACAGCTGGAGTTGGAACCCCGAACCAGACGAGAAGAAAAATTGACGCTGTCGTCCAACTGCTGGGTGCGCAGTACTGGCAGGGGTGGATACAGGTATTTCTAGAGGGGGGAGTAAGCGTATCAGCTATCTTAACCCCCCCTCCCTCCTCCTTTTCCCTGCCCTAAACTTTTACAGATGCGAAATATTCAAGAGGGGGTCGGGACATTTGGAGCCCCCCTCTGAATCCGGCACTGAGTACTGGCTATCTGTTTTGTCTCTGCATGCTCTAGTTCCAGGTCTGCCAAATCGTTTTGCACACACATCTTAAAAGCGTGTTGCTTCTAACAAATGTGGGAAACTGGCAAACCAATGACAAACAATGAATTTGTCAATGAGGGCCCCACCTTAGGCAGACACTGTTTGCGAACATGAATACCCCTTATCGGCAGCCTCTTTTGTCTTTTCTTACTTCTATTTATTTATTTAACATGCTCTATGTCTTACAAGGATTGTGTGTGTTATTCAAAATATATAATACAGCAGTAGGCAAAAACGTAAATAATAGTAAAATAGTCATAGCTTTTCATACTGCATGTTTGTGAGAATGCTAATGCAATTGATGCAAAGGTGCAGTGAGCTGGACAAGAATAACAATCATAATCCCTGGAGAAGGGAAACAAGGGGGTCAAAGAACAAACACAAATCTCCAACCACAGCTAGGTGACTGGTGTGTGACTGAAAAATCTGCCTGGCCCTGGTATATAGAACCGGACCTCTCCATTTCCCGTGGAGCGCTCTGCAAACTGAGCTAACCAGGAGTTGGATGTCAGTATAGCAAACGAGTTTTAACAGCTGCCATCAGTCTAACAAGGGCGAACGGCCTGCATTTTACGGTTATGACGCTAATGCAAAGGTGCAGCAAGCTGGACAACAATAACACGAAACCAGTACCTTGTGGATTTTTCAGTTGCGTACCAGTCACCTAGCTGTGGCTGGAGATTTGTGTTTGTCCTTTGTCACCCTTTTCGCCTTCTCCAGAGATCCTTATCGTAATATCAATACGACAAGCCACAAAAGCGATGCGACATGACTCAAGCCTAATACAGTGAAGTGTTATTGCACAAATCAATACATGCACAAAACAATAAAAATGACTGACAAGCGCTCTCCTTGCTTGTCAGTCATTTTCACAAAGTCGCCAAGCGCTCTCCTCGCCATGATTAGTGGTTTCCTCCTCTCCAGCATTTGCTGTGCTGAAGTGGAAAGAGTGGAGGAGCTTGTGAAAATAGCTTGTTCCGCTTTTCTTTACCTGTGACAGACCATATAGAGGTGAAGCACTTTTGAGGTCTTTGGGGGATTGCTGTTTTTTTTTTTTTCTTTTTATGTCTGCTAGCAGCGGTTGATTGACAATAATTGAATGGTAGACCTGCCCAAAGGTGCACTCATCCAGGCATTCGTTTTACACGGAACCTGCCCAATTAAATAAAACAAAATTGAAGAACGTTCAACTTCTCTCACTTCTTTTCTTTTCTTCTGGAATGTGCCATTTGGTTTAGATGTCCGTGATAATTTCACCTTGATCTCTAAATTTTTTATTGTCAGAAAATATATTTTTGCGTAATATAATTTCGAAAAGCACCCGAGAGTCAAATGTCGAAAATAGAACGCTCCGTAGGTAATAGGTATCCAATATCGCAGACATACTTTTTTTTTTTTTTTTTGCGTCCTTTGTAGTTAGACGCTGACCGCTGCTGAATGACCATAAATTTAGCCACCTGCTCTAATGCACGCATGCATCGACGTTGAAAAGCATCAATAATAAATTAAACCGCAGCGACTCCCTCGCGTTAGCAGCTTTTTCATGGATTGTTCGCCGCGAGTGGGGTTTCGTTTTCGTTTTGGCCTGGGCCGTTTGGTGGTGCCCCGATTGCCAGCGCGCTAACGTTCGCAGTAACGTTTGCAGGTGAAACAGCAGAACTGAGTTCGTGCGCAACCAGATATAATTTTAAGCCCTCCTCAGTTTTTCTAACTTTAGTCTTTGCTTTTAATGCATTCTTTAAATTATTAAAAAATAAAATTAAAATTTTTACAAAAATTAACATTACCGATTGCAGCGCCACAAATAAATGAGCGGATCAGAATAGCGTAACTCAACGCTCGCGATGAAAATGTCCGCTCTCCGCACCGGAGCCTATCCACTCTCCAGTGGCCTGGGCAACCGACACCTCCTCGCCAGCGTTTTCCTGCGCCACCGCCTGTGTCTTTTCCGCGTCTTGTGTATCCTCTATTTTGATGCGCGCCGACGCTTGGACGGCAGGAGTACAGCAGGAGCAAAGCAGCGAAAAGAACGGCAAGAGCGGTCGAGCAGCAAGGAAGCGAGCCAGCTGAGGAATCGCGTTCATCACACCCGCGTACGTCGGATCAGCAAACCCAACCGCTTCTTCGCACGCATTTCAAACGTCCTGACTACGCCAGTTTTTCGGACGAGGTAAGAACTTGCGTACGGTACGCTCTAGGCTGCTCGAGTCTTGTTTCTACGGTCGCGATTAACCCCAAAGCGGGCCTCCCCGCACCCGTCAACTTTGATCTTTCGACAACGATCACTATAACTCATCAACGAACCATTGAACCCTGTATGCGGGTGTGTCGGGCACTACTGCGACCTGTCAATCTTCACCTGATTGTCGATGCTGGGTGTATCGCGATGACAGATTTCCCTTCGTTATTGTTATCTGTTCCACATTGCGGATTCTTGATCAGGTTAGGGAACCTGGTTTGGGGTACGTGCTCGTCGCGGTTCATCGCCCTCGAAATCTGTGTCGAGCAGCCGTGCGCGTTTCCGATTCAGGTGCGATTCAATTCTTCAATTGATCGATTGATGCGTAGGATATCCATTATCAGATAAAAAAATATTCGCGTGTCTCGATCTTCGCATTCACTGAGAAGTCGGACTCTTTATATATACTTTACGGGTTGTATATTTGAATTCTGTGTTTCTTGTGTGAGGGACTTTGGATATCTGTATTCCCAAAATAGATTGCACGGCGGTCTACGGCGCAGCTTACGTGTTGAGCTCTGAGAAAAGAAGGGAGCGTTGCGTAATGCCAGTTGCTGTCTTTTTTCCAAGTGTTCTCCCCGCGGCAGGTATTGCGCAGGTCGTTTTTTCTTTTTTCTTATACGCGTACTTGCGATCGTATAATAGCTGTCGCGTTTTGAACCTCAGCGACTTGTCATATCATACAGCCTTATGCCACGCCTGGGCGTTCTCATTTAATAATCTGCAATCAGCTGTGATGCTTTTCCCACAAGTTCTGACAACTACAAAAATGTATATACGCTCAGGCCTATCGTTGTGCATTGTTTTCCGATTGCTCTTATATTAACCCTGACAAGTATTTCTATAGTAATGTGGCAGCATTACTAAATTTTCTAAAAATTAAAAAAAAATTTAATTGATTAAATCATTTTTTTTTTCAGTCCAGTGTATTAGTTGTTCTCATGCTCCACAGGAACTGCATCAGCTAAAATTTTACTACAACCCTGACACTAAAATTAATTTAAGACATTAACTCGCAAACTTGTTTAAAAATTTGAAGAAAAAAAAAATTATTGATACACTTTGTTTTACTGTAATCTTAAGTGAGGCCGAAGCTATGTGGCCCTGAACAGTGCTTGCACTGGACAAGTGTGCATGCCTGGCAGGGACGTTAAAAGCCCGGAGCTCGCTCTTGTAGCATCTGCCACACTCACACTTAAAGTGAAATGGAGTATAGCTTTACACGGGTCTTCAGCTTGAGGCACTACCTAAATCACTTTCTATGATAGTCTATTCATGGTCATAACAATCAATCTATTTGCATCCTAAAAACCAAACGTTACATTCATGCACGGCCTATTTTTCTATTAATCATGGTTTAAAAAGATTGACACCAAATGACGCCATCGGACGAGGAGGGCATAGCCCTGCTCTTCCTCGTGCATTGGCGCCATCTGGTTTTGACGATAGTTATGAAGTAATCAATCTTTTCACACTCACTTCAATAAGGAAATCGGCCACGCATTTTTTTTTTTTTTGTTTTTTATGCTTAAAGCCCATGACCATAAATAAACTATTGCAGACAGTGCTTTAGTGCCCTTTTCACACATTGCTGAAAAAATGCCCCAAGAAATTTTTTTGTGCGGTAGAAACCCTTATAGATGCACAGCAGGATTTTTAGACTGGTTGCTCTCTAGATATGGTAAGGAGGAGTTTTTTGCCTCCAGTTTGTCAGTGAAGGCTTTCAAACTCCCTACAAAAACATGAAGATTTACTTTATATCTCTACTAATACCGTGAATTCTCTTTCTCCATTGACTTCAAAAAACTAGACAACCGGACCAATCAGCAATCGTTTTCGCTGCTCACTCTTACAGTCTGTTTTCATGACTCTCCAACACATGGCAGAGGGCAATACTATGAAAGCTCTTTTGTTTGTCAATTTCTGAAACTCTCTTCTGATCAGTCTCCTCACTAGATGACACAAAGAAACATTCTTTTGCGCGGCAGCATGTGTGTAAGAATAGAACCGGGCTCTTCCGCTCAGACGGAGAATAAAGTTTCGCCGAGTGCCAAGCCACGTGAGCATGCCAGGAAATGAGGAAGCAGATGGACTTGCAAGCTCTGTCAAAGAAGCCGTAAGAGTATCCTCTGGCCTGCCCCACCAAACTGTCTTAATTAATAGAAATCAGTTTTTGAGTCATGGTAGCCAGCATAGGACATGCAAAGTGACAACCAACTATGTTATCAAACCATTTTGGAAGGGTTTGGGCGAGTTTCTTTAAAAAAAAACAGTCATTTCGAAACTCCTCCATGCCACTTCATCACATCACACGGTCTCATTCCTTGTGGATGAAACACAGCCATTAACATTGCCACATCCTTTCGCTTTGCACGTGCGTCTTTTGAAAAACTCGCACCTGCTCCGTGTTGAGAGTGTGTCTTGCACATTCCATGACACTGCAGATGTCTGGATCATTAACGCCAATCAGATATCAAGTATCTTCTTTTTTTTTTTTCACTGCGGCTTTTTTGCTTAGCAATGAATTGAATTTGTATAATTCAATTGTACTGTAGAATTTTTAAAAAATTCTTTTTTTGCGTTATAGTTATAAATTGGCATCATGTCCTTTCAAATAACATTTGTTTTGTGTAGTATGATCTTCGTTGCATTAGCATGTTAAACCCTGAATCATTCTTGATCATTGCCACAAAGAATAGCACTTTTTTTTTTTTTTTTTATCTCTGTCATTAAGTAAAGTTATGTCTGAAATTTTAGCTGAACCAGTTAGATATGGATGCGAGAAATTTCCGCTTGCTTTATGCGGTCAGAGACTTTTGATGTGTCCTATTTTTCCTTTTTTGATTTTATTTTCATATGGACTCTGTGCAAGAATTTTGATGCTTTGGTGTGTGATGTTTCGTTTTTATTGAGGTAGCAGGTGGTTTCTTCTTGCAGGAATTCAATGCAGCTAGAAGGATAATGCTATGGGGCTCGATGACACGCTTGTATGGTATCAGAAAAAGGTGAGGTACTTTTCTTAAGACTCTTGTTTGTCTTGTGGTCGGTTTGCCTTGCTGCATACCCGACCCGGAGGAATAACACGGAGCCAATGGTTTCAACAACAAGAAACTACATTTAATTGGACATGGACAAGACGATTAACATTGCTACCGGCGCTGCCAGAGTCCAGGCAGCGACTCCCCGTGCGCCGCCTCTGATCTGCCTTATCAAGGCGGCGCATCCGATGTGCGCGTGGCTGGCGTGACGTCGCCGCCACGCGGGAAAACTTCGGCACCTTTGCCTCGCAGTCGGGCAACTTGGCTGGGGAGCCGCCAGGGTGCCCACACTTCCCCCCCCTCAAGCTTCGTCCGGCATGTCGATGACGGGAGACGTTGTGGGCGTCAGGGGGTGGATGGCGCTGTTGGGCGGACTGACGTTGTAAGTCCGGCCGGCGCCTGCTGGACGAGCGCGGCGGCTGCTGACGAGCGCGGCGGCTCGGTCAGCTCCAGCTTGTCACTTGAGCTTGTTCTGGACCAGGCCTCCAGCAGGTGGCTGCTCTGCACGTGGTCCATGGTTCTCTGGGCTGCCCCTGGCGCGCCGACGTCCTTGGTGGCCCGGTCCACCATGAGACCGGCCGCCGTGTCATTCCGATGGCGGCTGTGGTGACGGTGGTGTCCATGAGCCAGCTCCACAGAAAAACAAAGAAGCAGACGACATGGAGCTCAGTTGAGGGTTGAGCCTAACGTCATCTTCGCACCCCTTCCAGAAAGTTTGAAATAACGGATCTGAGGTGGGCACACAATCTTCTCCCCCCTCTCTTGAAAAGGGGCAGATCCGTGGAAGTAGACAACTACCCCCAAAATGCAAGAGAGGCCAAGGAGACAAAAAAAAAAAAAAAAAAAGAGGTTCCTCTCTCTTTGGTGTCACCGACGTCGCAGGTTATACCGCCGCCTCGGTGGAGACGAGGGGGTTTCCGGAACGGGACTGCCGTCTGTGTCGTTCCGGTCCTGCGAGAAATCTTCGTCTTCTGCTTGAAAAAATCGTTTAAGGTCGGTGACATGAACAGGTCCGGTTTCCTCACTAGACTCACAGTTTCTTGTTGTTGAAACCATTGGCTCCGTGTTATTCCTCCGGGTCGGGTATGCAGCAAGGCAAACCGACCACAATGGCGCCCAACGTGGGGCTCGAACCCACGACCCTGAGATTAAGAGTCTCATGCTCTACCGACTGAGCTAGCCAAGCAACTTGGCTGGGGAGCCGCCAGGGTGCCCACAGTCTGTATATGCACTGTCCTGAAAAGAATAGTAGCTTTTTTTGGAGAGACATCTTTTGTCCTTGGTGCTAAGATCGCCTCAAGGGTTTTTCAATTTTCGCCTGCCATATTAAAGGCATTGGTGTTACTTAAAGGTCACCTTTTCTGTCTTGACAGAATACAGTATAATAGATATTTATTTTTGAAGTTTGTGGAACTAGTATGCATGGGGTAAAAATATTAATGTAATTTTGGCCGTTAAGGGGTTTTTGTGGCATGAAACAGTATTATATACTGTAAATTACTTATTTTTCGCGGGCTCAATATTTCGCGGTTGAGGTCAAAGCTGAAGTTTTCGAATGATTTGTGGGTTCTAATTTTTGCGACTCGATGGAAATTCAATATAGATTCCAATGTGTTTACATTATAACGGAATTGTTCGTGGGACCTATATTTCGTGAATTGTAGGTGATTCGCGAAATTCGCGAAAATTAGGTCCTTGTGAAAATTATGTCGTTTACAGTATATTGTCATTCAAAATGAGGTTGCACACAAGTTTGTAGCTTGGTTACCGGTTTCCGGTATCCACCGAAAAACATAGGTAGACTTCTGTGCCAAATATCCTTTTAACAAATCAGTGTGAAGCTTCCCATGGCATCATTTATTATCTAGACTTTCTGAAATAATGAAGAACACATGTCGGTACTGTAAGCTCAAGACTGCTCCCAGCAACAGGCAGTTTTCAAGGCCATCCATGTGCTATGATTTGTATTCTCTACCTCTAGGTGGATTGATACTAACGCTGATAACCTAATTGACCGTTTTCGCTCTATTCTTCTTATCTCTGAGTAGGTTGAGAGCTGATAAAAGGTCATGGTAATGCAGCTTTTTCTGGGAAATGCAATCAGCAAGGCTTTAGAAACCAAAGGAGCATTTCCTGCTCTTTGTTGTAATTCACTGTTTTCCTTTTTTTTTTTTCCATGTTTTTGGGCGGAAGTTGCGGCCTTACATATAGAAAGCTAATAAATGCAAATCCTATTTTGAAGAAATTTAGGCTGCCTCATTATATGACGTTATACCACATCGGCAATCCTATTTATTCCTCTATATAAACATATAATCTTACTATGAAGTATTTCGATTGTCCTTCATGGCAGACAAAACTAAAATTCGCCTGACTCGCTTTCCTATTTCAGATTGGTGCCTATGACAAGGATATATGGGGTAGGAACCTAGAACAGCGCATTCTTAGGGTAAGTATTTCATTAATTAAGCAGGTAAACGATACTACTTGCTACAGGCATTATCGAATCTCCTATTGTTGCACTTCGCGACGGCGATGGCGATATTATATAATTAGAACGTTTGCTTTCTTTTGTCTTCTGGAACATGGAAGTTGGTGGTACACCTGTCAACTGTAAATACTTTACACGCGGGTGGCTATTCTTTGATAGGCTCAGGGCTGTCGTGGAACTCCAAGAGCCCTTAAGTAGGATGTTGCTGCTTTCAAGGCCTTAAAGTTCTCTTGAGTTTCAGTCAAGGAGGCACCCCGTGACCAACAAATTGACAGCATGAACGAAAACGAACAAAAATTTAACTTGAAGCTACATATAATTTTTTCAGCACTTTGATTCTGCAACATTTTTGTTACCATCAAAAAGCATTACCGTAATATCCCTAGAGGTAGCTTACCTAAAATCAGTAGCGAATCAGATAAAAATAAGGGCTAAGCTAACTTTTGGTGTGCCATAAAAAGAAAAAGTTGAAAACTTGCTAGTTTTAGATTTTGTGACCATTGAAACTTCTGATCGCAGGAAGGGGCGATGAGCCAAATTAGGACGACTGTCCTTCCCAGTCAGCGATGTTTGCTTATCTCCCGCCTTGGTTATGTAACACCGTCTCTGTCGAGGTCACCATTTGCCAGGGCTCCGCAATTACCAAAAAGTGGAATATCTTTCGGTGTTTCAGAAAAAAAATAGCAAATTATGCCGAAATTAGGGGTAGGTTATCTTAGATTAGGGGCATCTATCAAGCTATTACGGTATGTGTTGCACATTATGCACACAACACATAATGCATTATGTGCCGTCAGCCTCCTGTCTCATTCATCTTGTGCGTCTGTGGTATGGAGTTTTGTGCTCAACTTTACTGTTTGCTAGTCCTGAGTTAAATTAGCGAGTTTCATACGCCGTCATCCCATATAGGAGAGTTGAGCGCATAAAATTCGCTACACATACTTTCGTGTCGAGCAACGAATTTGAAGTAAACGGGAAAGTAACCTGAGTGGCGCGGCTCTCTTGACATAGTCCGTGGCATCCATCCCAATTCCCCGTCATGAGATGGCGCTCGATTTGCAGGGTGTCAGTGCCATACCGAAGAAAACAGCCAGAATCAGAGCCGAGCTCATCGACATTGACTTAGTCCGCGGTGAGTAACAGTCTGAAGTCGTCTGCTGGGAATTTTTGTTTCCCTCAAATGCTATTGGTTCGTATGCCTTCAGGTCATCACCGACTATGAGAAATGGTTGTTTATAACATGAAAATAATTATTTCAAGCCCTCAGGAAAAGAATGATACGTAAAAAAATACATTGTAAAGTACCGTAGAAGTGCCCGCTTCGCTCAAGCGTCCACTATTAACATTTCCCAACATTGAAAACTCTGCAAATTGTACGTTAAGCACCTGATTCGACCGGAAAAGCGCCCATGTCTAGATTAACCTAGTTTTCATTTAAAAGTGGGGTGAGCACTCCCCTGGTATTTTATACTATATGTATGAAGAGGTCCAGAACTACCTGGTAGGTGGCGCCGCTGTGTGTTCCTCGTTGTGAGCAGTCAAAAGCGAGCACACGCTCGCACTAGCACACTCAAACGCAAATGTGGGAACTGGCCTTTAATGTTTGCTTGTACCTCCCCAGTGTCATTGCGGTTCACCTGCGAGTGTGTAGGACTTTCTAGTTGCAGCCTGTTACTTTTTAAAATAAACATCAACTCTGCCTCATGAATGTATTGTAAAGTGTGACTAGGCAAACAGTTTGAGAGGCTGTAACACTTGGACTGTAAAATGTGCCACGAGACCACTGAAATTCATAGAGATTGTAAAAGTAAACTAACGTTTTTTGTGGCTTTTCTTTTCTTTGCAGGCTCCACATTTAAGAAGTCGAAGCCACAAAACAGTTGGCTTGCCCTAGCTACCAATGGAGTTGTCAGGGTGCTGTTGTTTCCACTGTATTTCAGCTGGTAAGCAAACCTTAAAGTGATCTTTTCCTGAATTCATAGTGTCAAATTGTGTGGCAGCTTCAGCAGACTACAAAACTTTGGTTTGAACTACGTTTGGCAATTCTCAAGGGTTTATCACTTATCCTAAAGCTAATAAAATACTTATCATGTGGTGTCATTTAATATAAATAAACCACAATTGTGTCTGAATAGTAAATAAATCGGTCAATAATTTCATATTGAGTATGGGGCAAAAGGTATTTTAATATACAGCTCACTAGTTGCAGGAAACAACAGTGCCGAGTATACTGAAATCCATTCATGAGAATGTTATTGAAACCTCCAAAAGGCACCTAGCTAAAGCTAGGTGCCTTTTTTCTAGCTAAAGCTAAAGTGCAACCTTTTCTGTCGGGTGGTTAAACTACGCAAATATAGTGCAATCAAAAAGCAAGTGGGGCTGTCACTGTCATATTCCTAAGATTGTATAGTGCTGCTATCTTCTGCTGCATTGACCATGCAATCAAATTTACTGCACAACCTATCTTCACCGAAAGAGTTGGAGATAAGCCATTTCACCCATTAGTTATCATAATGTCTCTCTCTCTCTGTGTCTTTGTTTTCCCTTTCATTGTGCAAACAAAGCATTAATGCAGTTTATGTGCTGATTGTCTCGACAGAAGCCTCGTGAAGGATAAAGTTTTTGCATGTGTATGCCTTTGTTGAGGTCTTATCACTTGTAAGCTTTCCAGTGAGGTGTCTGGCTACTCAACATCAATGTATGTGTCAGTAAAACTGAGTGAATCAACCTTCTAACTGCCATAATTTGCTCACAATTTGGTTGTTAGCTGAAACTATCTGCATAAGCTAGGAACCCGGAAAGAATATTTTACCATCCGTTCCACATAGGTGTTGTGCTAGTTATGAATATAATTTGCTTCTAACTCCGGATATACTGAGGATTTCTGGAGAAGACGTTTTCTGGCATGTTACTAGGAACGTCTGCAAAGGCTGGTTTCCACGCAAACTTTGAAGCAGTTAAAAAATGATTGCAGTGACCCTTTATCTAGTAGCTTTTGTGCTCAAGGCATCCTTTGTAGAACACTCACAGCAGGAAGTACTGCCACATACAGCTGTTGTTGAGTGCTGATTGCTTGCCCAAGCATTTAAAGTACCAAACCACCTTTGAAAGCTGCACACATGCAAGCACATGTTCTTAAATACTCAAGGAAGAAAAAGGAAGAGCGCAAATGAGTTGGTGTAAATTGAACGTGATTGTGAGGAACTCCGAGAATGAGGTTAAAGAAAGACAGCACAACACGAAGTCTCAAACACAGCTGAAATTTGTTCGACAAGAGACTGCTCAAGTAGAACCCAAACACAAAAGACAAAGGAACACAACGGAAACAGTGGAATACAACCACCCACTCTATTTATTTATTTGAGGCATTCTTCAGTGCCTAAAGAACTATAAAACAAAAAAAAAAAAGATTATTATATAAGGCTGCAAAAAAAAAAAAAATACACATTCAATATTTTGTACTAACAAGCTACAACCAATCTTTAATAATTGTAGAGAAAAGCAAAGAGTTTGATTCATTCGCGGTATCATATGTGATTCAGGTAAGCAGTCGCATTGATAAGTAGGAAGAGAGAGTATTTGAAGATGCTAGTCCTGCAAGAATATTCTTGGACCTTTTTTTGTGTGAGCTATCCCTCGTGAGAAGAAATGATCAGACCAAACAAACCTTGCACTCTGTAGGCCCTTTTCGTTATTGTAAATATCATGAAAGAGCTCCGGACGTAAACCAAACCTACGAAATTTCGACAGTTTCCATCCAAGTTAGTCTTTCAGGGTGCTCGAGCTTACAGAAAAAAATCGTATTTGCCAGTGACAGACCTCGCTGTCTTGTTTTGAACTCTTTCGAGGTCCACAAATAAGTCGAGGATGCGTTGACTCAACGAAACAACAAAATGTAAAGAGAACTGAAAAAACATTCCTCTCTCTTCTCGTTTCGTCAAGTTAATGCGTCTTTGACCTATTTGCGGAAAAAGGGTGGATGTAGCCTACTGTTCGTTTGTTTCTTGTATTTTTTTGTTCACATACTATTTAGGGGAGCTCTCTCCCGTCGAATGAGTCTCAGCTGCGTCTGAGACTTTGTGTTTGTGCTGTCCTTCCTTACCTCAGTCCTGGGGTTCTTCGTAATTATCTCAAATGCTCTTTACTAAAAGGTATATGTCGGCACACTTTGGGTGCTCTTCCACCACTTCGGACTGCCCTCGGCACCCGTCGAAACAGTCCTCTTACAACAACAACCCGGCGTACGCAGTGTGGAAAGGTGGCCATCTTCTTTTCCCGCAGGTGGCAGCAGCAGACGAGTCGGGGCATCTGCATCTTTCTCCTCGTGCTCTACTTACTGCAGTTGGGATCCCTCATCCTGCACTCATCGCAAGATGACACTGTTATCTCGGTGAGCTTGGGCGGGACCTGCGTTCCCTGTCTCCCGGTTACCTTGCCTACGGCACGTTACTTGGAAGTCGACTTTCGGCGATTCTACGATTGACGTATGACAGCTGATAGGCTCACAATGAAAAGCGACTCTTTTTGCTTCAGGGGTTTAAGAACGGTCAGTTTTGTTTCAAGACTCCCAAACGTTTTGCCGGGCCATAGTCACTGAGGGTTTATTAAGTTCAGGGTGGGGCTCAGTATGTTTGTGCTTTTATACTCCGTTACATGCATAGCGTACAACACGGAGAAAGGTACAAAAATACTGCACATATGAAAAAAGAAAAAAATAATGTGTTACTTCGCGCCTTTCGTGGGAGTAGCACAAAAAAAAATGTGCTACTCCCGCGATCGCAGCGTCCCGCTGGCCTCCGTTAAAATCCATTTTCCAGGCTAACTTTTTTTTTTTTTTTTAGATGTACTTTAAGATTTTACATTTTTACAGAAATGCATATTTCACTTGCTCTTCTGCTTTTTAACTTTGTAAATGTCATTTACCTCCAGCATCAAGCTATATTTTTATACATGCAGCATGGAATGAGGAATTCCATTGACAGCAGTCTTGTCCCCCAGTTTCAGCAGTATAATTAAAAGTTAGCCGACAAGTAATAGTTGTGGCCTGTACAATTTATTTTGAGTTAGCTGTTTCACTCGTGTCCACACGTCTCTTCCATCGCATCGTCTTCATTGGCAACCTCCAGTATGCTATCGAGGGCAGGAATCTCCTTCTCGGAGTACTTGCAATGCATCTTCAGACGAACGGCGTTGAGTGTGAAGTCGTTATTCTGCTTTGTACTTCATGACAGTATGGACGAACACTCCGTTGTCGTTACTGACTATCTGCAGGACTTGACGGACCGACTTTTCAGAGTTTATGACTTTCAGACCTGCTTGCAATCCTTTGATCGAACAACAAATCTTCGAAAATGTTCGAGCAGGAGAGTTGTGTGAGGTTGCTGTGGAAGATGCCATTTTCTCAAAACAGGCAAAAGAGCCTGTTTTGACAAGCAATAGCATTAGGCAAGAACTGGAAAGCCCGAAAACCCAGCAACTGTCGCACGGATGATGAAATCCCGACACGAACTAAAGCGGAAAACAGAACGAAGTACAGTCGACTCTCATTAATTCAAACTCGAGGGAGGCCGAAAATTTGTTTGAATAAAGCAAAGTTTGAATTATCAGGAGTTTCTTCCCATAGAGACGCATAGGATGGGACCTGCATGTTAGTTTGAATTATCCGAAAGTTTGAATTAAGAGATTTGAATTAACGAGAGTCGACTGTAGTATGCTTTATTTTTACACTTTATTGGAAAAGAACCTTCGTTTCGCAAAGATCTTAGTGCAATTATGAGTTACTAGCTCTGAAGACGCACCTTTTTCCAGTTTTTGTTTTTTCAGGGGACGCACTATTTTATGGGGTGAACGTAGGCTTCGCAAACCGGTGCACTCAATAGCTTTGACTGTGTTGCACGTTATGTAAGAAATGAAATATGGCTTCGTGTTTGGTTCCTTACTGTCCTTATAAGGGCACCGCAAGCAATCCCAAAGTGGCAGCAAACGACATAGAAAAGCCAGAGTGTCCCGCTGTCGGACGTCACGATCCCGGCAGTTAACCGTCGAAGTTCCGCAATGGAAAGCACGGGCAAACGGAGGCGTTGCCATCTTCGCGGCATTCCGACTCCTGGCTGGCGAATCTTCCGCAGACTGGAGAGCCGGAGAACGACCTGTGGCAGAACGGGCATCTGCCACACCCAATGCCGCCGCTGCGCCGCCGTTAAGGTCGCGGTTGGCAACGGCGCTACACTTCTACGACGTCGTCGAGCGGAAATTGAGGGACTGCTTTTTTTTGGGGGGGGGGGGGTGCGTGGTGCGTGGTAAACATGCCTCCGGTCCGAGACGCGTTTTAGGCACCGTAGCCAAGTGTTTTGAGCGCATCTCTGCTCCACACTGTTGCTCCACACCGTGGTTGACAGTTGCGACGGGGAATGCTTGTAAAGGTTCGTTTGCAAAGCAGCCTTGTGTGCGCTTTGCCTAGGGTGATGACATCTTGCCGTTTTGTCCCAGATGCCCGTTTTTCTTTTTCATTCCGGAGCGCGTGAAAGAGCGTCTCCCCGCGCGGGCTCTTGACGTCGACTGTGCCATGGCAGCACCTTGTTTCCTGCAATTTCTTTGTATTTTTCCCACGAGCGCGTGCTGTCAGCATCGGGTACCACGATGGATGTCATCACCCTAAACAGAAGGACATTGAAGTGCCCTAGGAGTGCCTAGGGCTATCTTTGTAACCATTTTCAGTTTTTTCGATACAAAAGCTAGAGTAATGCCTGTGTTGTTTAACTGCCATTCCTTGCTTTGCAGGAGAACACCATAACGGGGGTGCTGACTCCCATAGCCATGATGCTTGTGCTGGGGATCATGCATGCTCAAGTTGTCGCCACTTACACCACCAATGGACAGCTCAAGCCCATTAGAGGAACTAAGAGGTGAGGGAAGCGTTGCCTGTTCTTTTCATTCCAAATGGAGGGGTGCGAAGAGAGGTGACAAAATGAAGAAGACATATACCTCGTACTGTCCTCAAAGCGTAGGGCCACGGTGTGTGAGGACAGGGGTGATCAGTGTCCTGCCCTGTCTCTCTCGTGCATTCAGCCGAGTCATGCTGCGGTGGCAAACTGTGTAGACCCTTTGTAAAAACTCATGAGTGGCAATGGTCTGAGGGGACCCTTTTTGGGAAACACAAACGGCCAATTTGTACCTATATCTCATGACTTTCGATTAACTTCTGAAAGAAAAAGAGTACCATAAGATAGATGCCCTCTTCTTAATCGGGCCAAATGGTGCGAAGAAGGGTTGGCGGGCTCGACTTGGTTCTTCGTCCACCCATGTCTATATATCGGCTGCCCTAGATTAAACTACAAGTGTCAGACTAGTTAAAGAAAGATGGAAGAACTTTGTTTGTTCATATGCCTTCTAAACTGCAAAAGGAGCAGTCTCTATTGTTTTCAAATGCAAACTCGAATGTAAGCGTGTGAAGCAGCCTTAATAGACCCTTCTCAAAATTCAATGCCATCTGGTGACTCAAAAAGCAGTTTTACCTTCGACAAACTAATGGCAGTCGCACCGTCACTTCTGCACATCAATGGCGGATGAGTGTTTGTTTTTTGATCGCCTCATGATTATTTCTTGGTTTATTTTAGTTTCGATGATGCGAACATAAAACCCGACTAGTACAAAGCGGTGACCCATAAGTGCCTCGATTATATTTCTGTTATCAAAAAGCTTTAGAGCCAAACTTGTGCCAAGAGGTTGGTTGGACCACACTCTGAAATAAATGCTTATGCAGCCATTGTATCTAATTTATGCATCATTTTGTCCTGACGTCTCGATCGTACAGGCCTCAAATATCCTCCGCTTGGTAGTATCTTCAACTTGTTCTTTCATCAGCCTCAAGAAGGCCACCATTAGTTTGGCACAGGTACCATATTCTGGGATGATAATAGGACTCAACGTTTCCAGGCCAAATTTCGGAAAGTTTTTATTAACACGGCGTCGCTCGTCTCCCAGCAAAAGACCCAAGAGGAAGACGAGGTCGAGGTGCGGGTATGACGGGAAGTCCTCACCCGGCACGGCCTCAGAGGAGAAGACGGAGAGCGTCTGGTCTGAGTTCCAGGCCACGCGCAACTCGGGAGGTGGCTCGGCCACCGAGAAGGCAACAGTCCGGCGCAGGGCCAAGCCGGAACGGAGCCTGGGCCGGAACCGCCAGCGCACGCAGGCCGGCGAGCTTCCCGTGCAGCCGGATCAACTCAATCTCGGACGTGAGTGGAGCATCTCGACATTGTCCCGGAACGGCGCGTTACATGGCACAATACTATAGGCCCTTTTCGAAATTGTGAAACGATGCGTAGATCATGCGCAGCCGCCATTATGGTCTCTTCACTTCCGGCATCAAGCTTTTAATTGGAACTGAGTTCCGGCCGGGGAGTGATGCAGCACTGATGTGGAATTCGTCTCAATCCGAGTACACTCCAAGTGCTCACAAAGCAGTCGTGGCCAATGCGTGCTCAGAGTGCACAACCAACTTATGGCGGCCGATCATATTCTTTGCATCATTTTAAAATTTCAAAAAGGCTTTAATAGCGCCGAGACGTATCGGCGGCGTCCCCTTACGGCTACCATCCGTGACATCACGACCAGGATTTGTCGCAAGTTGCAATCCCGGCCACTTGTCATCGGTTGCGAACGACAGGTTTGACGGTGCGCCTAAAAAGTACTTGGAAAGCTCGGAGTCGTTACATTCTAAAACCAATGCCGTTAGAGTTGGCGGTCTGACATCGCCCTTGTTTTCGTCGACAAAAACAAAATTTGTACAGCTGAAGTCGTCACGGCGAGCGTTTGTCCAATCATCGCGTGCCAACCGCGGCGACGCTCTTGGTCGCGCGTGTCTCCAATAGTCGCTGTTGGTATGGGAACGGCAGAAAGGTCTTCCGGTTACCCCTCTTGTGGCGTGACCTTCCTACCTTTGATGATGCTTCGGCGTCTCGTGACTATCGGGCGTGCAAGCGCAAGCCAAAACGCGGTGAAGGGCGACGAGCGTGGGCCACAGTTTGGGCATTCGAAAGAGATGTCCTGCCATTCTTATCCCGGTAGGGACCGTAGGTGCGCGTTATGCCACGCAACAACCATCCCGCTAAAATGAGACCACGGTAGATGAGAAAACGTGGTAGCTGACCGTCATCAGTCTATTGTTGTGAAACAGAAGTAAGGGCCAGTTCACACACACTTGCAACTCCTTAAAAGAACACTGACACACCCCAAAAAAAATTTTTTTTTGTTTTTTGCCAGACGATTTATTATGGTGTCAGAAGACTACCCAATCAGTATTTTGCTACAGTCTCACATATATTTTTAATAAAGTAAGAAAACGCAAGGAGCACAGAGTTAATGGCCATGACATGTGGACTGGGGAGGAGGGAGAAATGTGGAGGAGGAGAGAGTTGCCGGGAGTCACGTGGCTGCGCCCAACCGCATTTCTTTTTTTTCTTCTTTTTTTGGTTGTGCGAAGCAAATGAAAACAGCACAAATGTCAAGCACGAAGTGCTTGATGTTTGTGCATTTTTCAACTCTTACCAATTCGTGTTCGTAAGACTAGCCGTCTTCAGCCAGGCGTGTCATATGGAATAAACCCCAATTGTTTTGACTAGTAAATACTTATCTTTTGAAGCTAGAATGATTTGCCGGTACCGCAAACAACAGTTTTGAAGTAGAGGTCCCACGCCCGTCGTCCGCCACCATCGCCTAGTTCGCTTTGCCCAGTCGTCCAGCTCGCGATATGACGCCATGTTTAGAATTATGCAGAGAATGCAGAAAGAGTGCTTCCGGTTCTCTGTGCAACTTTTTTCTTTCTTTTCAATCAATGTTTTGCAGTTTTAGGAGCCATAAAAAATGGGTATCGTAATTTTTTTAGCAAAGCTGTTAAGGGCTAGTTCCTTAACAAGCTGGAAAGCTTGTTTGGAGCAAAGAAGATGATGTTAATGTTAACCTTGTTCGCCACTTTTTTAAGACTACGGGAGATGTTGTGGATGCAAGGCACAACAATGGGTCTGGTTGACCTGTCTTTTGGTTTTCATCTGATGACATTTTTTTTTCTGTTCTCTGAAAAGGTTCTCTACCACTGATGTTAATAAGGAAGTGGGATACCCTGCTGATGACAGGCGACAAATTTGTGCACAGAAACTTGTTTATATATGTTTGCATGACTTGCTAAGTGAGTTTTTAAGGCAAAGATTGACGGTGCCCCTCTTAACCAACTTGGTGTGTACAGAATTGAAGTTAAGGAGTGGCTTGTCTCCTCACGGCTAGACGAGATAGACATACACTAGAGAGGGCTCATCAGATTGCCACTGTCAGACTTCCCCGTCACCCCTTACAGTCTTCTCAAATCAAGGCCTAGCAGGAGAAATTCTTTTGGAATGCATGGCCTTTCTAGTAGAGCGTGCAAAAACTTGAATATACAAAACCAAATCGAATAGCAAATTTTAGAATAATTCTATTCGCAAATCGAATTCCTAGTATTTGGTCACTCGCATATTCAATATATTCGACAAAGACGCGCGGTTGGCACAGAGCTGACAAAAGAGCCGTTTGTATGTCCGATGTTAGCGCAGTGATGTTAGAGAGACCATGCAAGAAACACCTCTTGGTCCTACCATTCCACAAAAATCTAATGCACAGGCTAGAAAAAAGAGAAGTGACCAATGCCACAAACTTTATAGCACGCAGATTTAATCATGATCATGACACAATCTAACCTTGAATTACAACCGAGACATCCCGTTTGTGCCGCTTCCAGAGAGGAAGTGTTGCGAGGCCGGAATTCCACGCCATGCCTAATTCTTTTCACAAGTAAGGACCCTTGTTTCAAATTGAAGCGTCGATGTAGAGCACACTTGCCACACTCACACAAATCGGCAACTCCAAGATCACAAAAAGAAAACCACATTAACCACGCCGATGAAATCGGCCGAGTTGGCATCGTCGTTGTTTTGGAACCACAAGCCGCAAGTTTTGATTCGGAACGAAAGAGAACGGAAAAATAGTGCCTATATTTAAGAGGGTTTCCAAGCGTTCGATAGCCGCGTTTGAAATACGAACTGCAAGGTGATGAAAAGATGAAAGCGTCAAATGGGCAAGCATCGTCACTCTTCCATTTGCTTGTCTTCTTTCCATGCGACAACTTAACACATGCACACTTACAACCAATCTGCGCAGGGGCCGTTCTCCGTATTTTCAACTTCGCTTGCTCCTGCTTTTAAATCTAAGCTTTCTAAAACAGGATAGATGGACGGAGGGATAAATGCATAGTGGCTGTTGGACGGTGACTTGCGCTGCCTGACCACATGTTTTTAATGCGAAAGCATTAACTGGTCCCATGTAGCAAGGCAACGTCATCAGTTTGAAGCGCAAAAACGGCACCTAGTTTCCCTGATCCCAAAGATCCCATTGGCTAGCGCGCGGCGGTGAGGCTCCCATTGGCCGCTGCGTGCGTCAGTTTCAACGACTGCTGCCAGATGGCGCTGTATGTTCGTGCCTCCAGCGCGCAGATAGAACTAACCGCCCCAGCCCCATGCAACTATGGGCCCCGTGCCAATTAAAACAGACATGTTGGCGCGCGCTCGGAGACTTCTGCTCGTCTCGCCGCCGACGAACATGGCGCCGCCTCTAGCATCACCATCGTCGGACATTCATGCTTTCACATTCACAACTCATAAAAAGTGCTTAGGTGTCTTCCGACTTTTTTTCTTACTTCAGATTATATTCTTTAATCCTGTTGACTCAGATTCAACACCTATCTGTTTATTAATATAAAATAAAACCTCGGGTGCCATTTTTTGCCTTTAAAATTGAGACCAAACATCGTAAAATGCCCCTTTTCTGAAATATACAGATATGAAAAAAAAGGACGTCGCAGAGTTAGGTCGTGCTTTTATTATGAAAAAAAAACATGCGTGGTTGTAACTTTGGGATTTTTATGACACTTGGGGTAGATAGATTATGTTTGCGCCGTAAAATTAGATTTTTAGTGCCCCACGTCCATCAACAGATGCTTTTTTTTTTTCATTAGAACTTGTACACATTTAAGCTTTTGTTCCGTACAAGATGCATACTCTACACCAGGAGCATATTCTGCACAGATAATATTCTCATTCACAGCACGCTTTGAAAAATTCCTGCCAATGAAAGCACTATTCGATATTCGATTTGAAAACTATTATTCGGTATTCGCACACCCCTACTTTCTAGGGCCGGCTCTTCGCACTTTGGCGTCCATGGCACAAAGCCTCAATAGTGACGCCATGGTGTTGACATGATGTTGTCGGTGTTTTAAAAGGTGCGACCACCGTGACAATGTCACAGCTTTTGCATGACGTCATCAACCTGACATCATGTAACGTGACACTGTGACATCACGTAACACCATGATGTCATTCGACACTGACATCATGTAACGTGACACTGTGACATCAGGTAACACCATAAGGTCATTCAACACTGACATCATGTCGTGTGTGACTTGACACATTGTGTAACGTCATGTCATATGTGACATTACACATCATGTGACATGTGACATCATGTTAACATGTGACATGCCACACAACACTGTGACATCATGTGACACTATGACCTCACGTGACCTGACATCACAACGCACGTTTTCCTGATGGTCGCACAATGCCATGCTGTCACCTGACGTCACATGGTCGAGCGACACAATGCCATCAGCTAGCAATGTGACGTCACAGAGGGTCTATGAATTCTATGCATTTAGAGCACCTGCGATACATATTTCCCCACAGCGTTCCAGCACCGTCGAGCAGGCGGCAAGAACTCGGACGAGGAGAGCGGCCTGGAGAGCTTGTCAAACCACAATGGGCCCGAGGACCTCTGCCTGGCCCAGGAGGTCCAGGACAAGCTGGAGAGCTTCCTCGGAGCCTCAGCCACAGGCCAGGACCCCGGCAGGGATGCCTCTGCACTGCCACCGGCCGCCGAGAGGGAACCCAGCTCGGACGACGAGGAGTTCTTCGTGGCCAGGAAGCAGCGGTCCCGCAGCCACGACGGTATGCGCCTCCTCTCAGAGCAGAAATGGCAGACGGCGGTGGTTGAGGCTGGCAGGAAGAACTTAAAAAAGAACCTTCTGGAAGTCTAACTAATAATTTTACCGCCTGTTCGTTTAGACAGCAGGAAGTCAGTAAGCCCCTATGGGCATCTGATGTCTTCACTGTAGACGAGAAATTCAGCCAGTGCAATACCACCGCTAGCTTGGGGGGTATTTAATGTGCACCACGCAGCAGCTCTACATGACCGCACGCCGGTATAATGCTCATCCAGATAGAAACAGGCAGGGGTGGGGATTGATCCCAGGATCCCCGAGTTCTGGAGTGCAAGCTTTTGCTCCGGGTGCTATCAAAGCTGCAGCGTGCTAACATGCTGGCCAATGATCCCCCCCCCTGCTTTCTCAGCCCAATGTTCAAACGACGCTTAGCACCGTTTAACTGATGTACCTTTATCGCGCAGTTTGCTGCAACGACAACGTCCTGTTTGACGAATGGCGCACCACGGCGTCGACGCACGCGAGCCCGCACCGTCCGGGGAGCAACGAGTGTCGCGGCGGACGCGCGGACGCCAGCAGCGCGGAGGACGAAGAAGAGGATGAGGAGGACAAGGAGAGGCCCCAAAGGAGGCGCTCCTCCCCGCCAGACCTGCCTCCCAAGCCCAGCGTCGCGCCAAGCCTCCACGCTCGGCGGAGGGCAGGAAGCTTCTTTGCCACGCTGCCCACCATCCGACGCTGCGAGTACAACAGCTCGTGCGAGTCAGACAAGGACACCACCGTGCCCAACACGCCAGTCAAGGTGAGAAACGTGCGACCGCTTGTTGCTCGCATGACGTGATCACGTGACTTCCCAGCAGCATGCCCGTCCAACGTTGGCATGAACGAGGGGGTAGGCTTGTCATCCTCTTCTCAGCGGCGTAGCCAGGGGGGAAGCTTATCATCCCAGCCACCTCAACTCCCCTCCCCCCCCCCCCCCTCTGCCGAAAAAATTCCTGGCTACGCCGCTACCTCTTTTTGACTGCCGTACCGAATCTCGCAGTTGACGGATGGATGGATGGTTGCATGGCAGCCATTCCCTTTGAATCTGGCAATAACTTGTGCCACCTAGTTAAATGTTTTTTTCTTGTTTTTTTTAACTTCAAATTACATATTTTTTAAGCCACTTTTGGTTAGATTTAACTTCTTTCCATCCCTTGATTGTTCTTCTAATCTTTTACCAAGTTCTCCTTCATCAAGTTGTTTCTGTTTCACCGTTTTAATCGAATCCCAGGGCCCTGAGGTGGTCAGCCTCTTCGCAAAATGTCCTTGGGCAACCAGGTCCTTCGTGTCCCATAGCAACACGCTTTTCAGAAGTCTGAGCCACCTGGTGGCAATCTCGAAAGCTCCAATATTGGTGCTGGAAAGGCGGCGGTAGAAGAACGGGATCACCTAAAACACGCACGCTCGACTTCGTGAATCAAAGGTCACGTATAGTCATTGACTGAGTGAGAACAGCTGAGAGGAGTTACAGTCGTCCCACCTTCAGATGTGAAGGCAACGAGCCCGTGCTGGAGACCAAACGTTTGAAAGAGATGCCCGCCGTTCTCAGCCTGTCAATAACTATAAGACCAAGTGCTACGAAAAAAAATTCCTCGCTTTTTGACTTTATGCTTCCATAGGTGTCGCCGGTGTGGAGGAACGGTGTAATGCCGCCATTAGAGCGTCGGGTTTTGCTCGGGACAGGGTGGGTAGACCGACTTTCGTTAAGGTTCTGTTTGACCGGCGGTTTTGTCGTCTGAAGTGCGCAGCTCGCCGTGAAGTTACCGGCAAACGTTTTTCTGAATAGGCTTTTTCTCTTTTGGTCGCAAAAACCCCAAAACTTTGCTTACCTTTTCGAATTGGGGTATTGTCTCGGAGATTTCTCGGCTGCCGCATTCCCACACGAAAAATGGTTGCCTGGCAACGCGTCAAAGGCTGGCTAGCACGCTTTATTATGGTCGTATCGTGGCGGTGAGCCGTCTAACGTTGTGTCATATTGTTATACCAAATACTGGACATAAAATATAATAAATGTTTGCACAAGAAAACAAAGAAACTGCCGCCAGCCTGTCCTTGGGATTGTGCATTTAATATGTCATGCTCCGAAATGCAAAGATCTAAAATATGAAGAGTGGAAAAGGAAGGCTTCATATGGCATCTGCATGCTCGTAGGTGAACACATACATACGTTGCACATTCCACTGAATCAGGTAGCCACCTTGCCGACAGTAAGAAAAACGAAACATGCAGACGGCCGACTTCAGCAGTTAACTGCCCGTGAAGTAGCTGGCTGTTATGTCTGGGGACGCGTTGAGATTCGGCTCGTCATTAGTTAACGAAATTGCCTGTTCTTATGTCGCACTTTCATGAGTATTGCTCAATGTAGTGTGCCTTTAGAAAAAGCCTCTGAACTATAGTCCGTTGCAACTCAACAAGGTAGGGCGAGAGATAGAAAGGTCGGGGAGGAGGAAGCAGATAGAACGCTGGAGTGGAGAAAGGGGAACCTCCTCATCTCTCTAGCATTCCACCTGCTTCCTGCTCCCCGGCCTTTCTTTCCCTCCTCCTACCTTGTTGAGTTGCAAATGACTATAGACATGCCTCAGGACCTTGTTACAACTATAATTAACTAACCAGTCCATACCTGTCAAGTCGGAACACCTCCCTCATTTGCACAGGCCCCTAAATTTGGACAGTGCAAACGTGCCTTGCGAGTGTCCATTATAGAGAGGTTTTGCCATGACACTAACATCTGCAGTTTGTCAAAAAAACACAAAACTCTCTCAAACTTATTTTTTTCTTTTTAAATTGCCAAAATGAGTTTCTTCTGTTATTAAAGTTATTTTTGTAATATTATTTGGTAATACCAAGGAGTATTCCCAGATGGTAATACGTAATAATGCTAGTATAGCACCATCTAGCGATTCAAAATGTCCAAGAGCGCACATCCCAATGGCTATCGCACGCACAAAAAAAGGCAACGGCCTCGAAAGAAGTTTATTAACAAATTAACAAAGGGATATAATACATAATATGTAGACAAACTGTTTCTAATGGGCTGATGCTCATTCCACCTGGGTTGTTGCATCGTACGTCTCCTTGTGTCTCCGACGTTTGCTGTCCCCTTGGCTCATCTGTAGCTGGACGCGGAGGTTCTAGAAGACCCCCCCTGGTTGACCCGTGTCCTTGCGCATGTCTTGGCATCCTCCCCCAGCCTCCGGCCTCTGACATAGAGTGGCCACTCCTCTCTAACACTGATTGCAACGGGTACACTTCGAGTTCGGAGGGACTGGACGAGGACGAGGAAGACGTCCCCCAGGACCCCTTCAGCTTTGACGCAGCCGAGGTGAGTCCCCCCCCCAACCCCCCTTCTGACCCTTTCTTGTCGTGACTAAACTTAAGGGAGATGTTAAGGACCGCGTCCTCGTAGAGTTCTACGTAATATGTCCACAGATGCCCCACCTCCAAAAGATAACCCACCCCTATATTTCTTGGCATGACTTGCCCTTTTTTTTTTTTTTTTCAAAATACCGAAAGACTGTTTATTTTTTGTAATTGCGGCGCTCGACCCTATGGTGACCTTGGCAGAGATGGGGTCAGTTAGCTATGGCGGGAGATGAGCGAATGCTGCTAACTTGGGAGGACGGTCGTTTTTGGTTCGTCGCCATTCTCTGTGGCAACGAGCTTGTTAGGTCACTGCACCTAAAAGTAGTAAATCTACACCAGCTTGCCTGTGCCATCGCAGTCTTATCTAAAAAAATGGCATTTAAAAATTTTTCTTGATCCCACACATTGAAAGTTGGCCCACTTTTTCACCCAATTTGCTCTCGAGTTTAGGTTTGCCATCTTTCGGGATACTACGGTAATTATGCTTCTTGGTCACAAGAAAAATAGCTGCCGTCATTGTTTCTATGTTTTTTTTGTTTAGAACTCTGGACCACTTGCGGGAGGCCAGACAAGCTTGGATAAAGGTGAGTGCTGTCCTCTGATATCTGCTTGAGGCTGGGACAATTTCGAACTGCAGTAATAATTCTTGATGCCCAGAAATGCCAAGTAATGCCGCAAAAATCCCCAAAATAGTGAGTTCAGTTGAATTTGGTTAATTTTTTTTTATTGTTTTTTTTTTTAAATTTTGAAAGAGAGACAGATTTAAGGCAAATATTGAAAATACCATAAAGATGATTTACAGAGTAACTTCTATTTATAAAGATATGAATGATGCTCTAATGTGATATCAGTGCCCTTACTTCTGCAATTCTCTATGTGAACCTTCGTCAGATGGAATGACGTTAAAGATGTTGGATGCTGTTATAGCATTATTTCCAGTGCCTTTTTTGACTGCTTTTAAGTGGGAGGAGTGTAATCTAGAAAGAGATTGCCCACAGAATGCTGGTTTGTCAGGAAAATCAAATATGCAGGCAGGGTAGGTACCTCTATTTATATTTTAAGCATTTCGCATTCTGGTCTAACTGCTGGCTGGTACAGTTCTTGCAATGAGTCTTAGATTGAAATGTTTTAAAACAACTAATAATGCTGCTTTTATTTGGTGTTCTATTACATCCATCTGATGTCACTACAGTGGCACATGTCAACAAAAAGGTTAATATTTAAACACATACTGGAATCATCTTTACTGGTTTAATCAAAATACCACAGTTCCACAACAATAAATATGTATTTTCCAAGACTGTATCCAAAAGGAGCAGTATTTATATATCCAGAGAAAAGGTGACCTGTAACTAAGATAAATATATATTCATGCGAACTGTAACAGTCTATTCTGATTGCATCAGGAAAACAAACTAGACCACCTTAATATTTGTGTAAAACTGGCTCGAGCGTCTGTAAACACAGAGCTGGCACCTAACACTACATTAAAGATACCAAGCCGCTATCAAAGTTACAATGCATTATTTTTTGAAGAAATGTAATGTGACTACGAATTAACTTGTTGAGTTATCATTAGGGTTCGGCGTTTTCGGTTTTTATTTTTTCTTCAAATTTGGGGGTTATTTTTTGGTGTTTATTTTTCCCTTTTGAGTCGGTGTGTTTCAGCGTCTAATTTTTAATGCCAGAGAGAAATCGGTGTTTATCGGGCTTCTGTTGAAAAGCAACATTATGGAGAAAATAATGTAATTTATAAATTATAATATTTTTTCAGTAATGCTGGTAAAAATAAGAGAAGGGAATGGGGAAAGTGATGTGGCTTCTATAGAAAGAAGCAACCACAAGGACACTTCAGTGCAGCTGTGTTGCGGGTCAATGAGAAAAAAGAAAGTGTAAAAAATTTATTCAAAAACTGTTTTCCTTCTTCTTCTTTTTTTTTTTTTTTTTTTTTTTTTTTAATTTTAAAGACAGTTAAAATTAGAGGTTTTCCAGTTTTAACCAATTCAGAGGAAACCGCCTCAGAGGTTAATATTCTGTGTTTATCGGTACGTACCGAAAACACTGAACCCTAGTTATAATTCACCATTTTAGATATAACTGGTGCCACCTAGCAGAAAGTGAGGTTTGGGGATTCCGAGAATTAAACCATCTTTGCATTAGGCAATGCACAAAGTAGACTTTGGGAGCCCAATCTAGGTAAGTCACTGTAGCTGAGTGAAGCCAGTGGGAGCATCCGCGCTCGTTCGAGCACGTGCTCACGTGTTTTCGTGCCCGAAACCTCCCGAACGGGGGATTTTCAAAGAACAGTCCATTTACGTCATCACAGCGAGAAGACCGAGTCGTTCTAACATAAGCAACCGGAAAGAATAAACACAAATTCGGGACGCAAACAGACGATACAACTCTTTCAACTCACAACGACATTTATTTCGTCTCCGTTCAAACAACGGCCATCGAGCAGGTTCTGGGGAGGGAGCAGAGAGGGAAAAGAGGGGGGGGGGGGGGGGGGGTGAAAAAAGGAGGAGGGGAAAAAACGGGTTATTCGCGGCCTTCCCTCAAGGTCTCTGGTCCCCTCCGCCCAGTTCGGGACGGAGGAATTTCATCTCCCGCTCGGAAAGGGCCAGAGAGGCCGAGGCGACGTTAGTTACCGATCTCTTGATGGCGTACGATTCGGCGACTTCCCTGCCAAACCTCTGCCGGTGTCCTCCCAATACGCGCGTACCTTCGTATCTGGGCGAACAACCGTCGCACGTCATGCGGTGTACAACTATTGGGTGCATGGAGTCGTCGGGGGGTTCGTTCACCTCCCGCGAGTGTTCCCTCAGGCGGTCATTTAGGCACCTCCCGGTCTGCCCTATATACTCCCCGCCACACGAAAAAGGGATGGTATAAACCACCTCCTTCCTGCACTTAACAAACTGCTGTCCGTGCTTCTTGTTGCATTGAGTCGCGGAGGGCGGGGTATTCACCAATCTGCACATTTGTTGAAGCTTTTGCTTGCAGCTAAACACTACCCCTACCTCGAAGCGAGAGGCGAGTCCCTTGAGGCGATGTGCAGTGTTGTGCGAGTAGGGGATAACTGCAAAACGTTTTTTGCGAGGAACAGGAGCGGCTGGCGGTGCCCGGGAGGCGGTGATCAGCGTCTTTAGAGTATTTGCCACTAAGTCTTCAGGGTACCCTGCTCTCTTTAGCCTATCTGTCTGTAGAAGCACGCTGTGCGCGGAGAGATGGGTGCACGATCTGGTTCCAGAGGATTTTAGGAGTGATTTCACGAGGCCCCGTTTAACTGCTTTGGAGTGGGCACTCGTGAAGGGCAGGACCGGCTTTTGTGTGCGCTGTCTAAACTCCCAGCATATCCCATCAGAGCCCATCTTCAGGTGCAGGTCCAAGTATTGAAGACCGTCTTCAGACGGGTCTTCTCTCTTAAAGAAGAGTCCGGTGGGGCTCGGGGCGAAGGCCTCAATGACAGACTCGGGTGAGGTCTGCTTCGGGTGCACGATCAGATAATCATCTACATACCGGAACACACGGCTCTCCGGCGCGGTCTCCTCCATTCGGCTTCTAATGTCCCGGTCCACATACATCAGGAAAATCTCGCTCAGCACAGGGGCCAGACAGGAGCCTATGCATACGCCTGTCCTCTGGGTGTAAACGCTTCCCTCGTACTCCACCAGTGTCGAGCGAAGGTACAACTCAAGGAGAGAAATGAAGCCGCTAACAGGTATTCCCGACGAATTCTGAAATTTGCAGGCTCCATGTTCGTGAATGGCGTTGCTCACGGACTCGAGTAGAAACTTGTTGTCTAGACTGTAAAACATGTCCTCTATGTCCAAAGAAAACATTGCTAGTGGTGTAGGAGAGTCATGCAGGGTCTCAAGTTGGGCTATCAACTCAGTGGAGTTACTAACACGAAAAGGCTGGGAGAGTGTCAGGGACGACAAGTTTCCTAGGAGGAAAGTGGCCAAGTTCTTCTGCCAGCATCCGTTTTCGGAAATAATGCTGCGAAGCGGGACACCCGGTTTTTGTGTCTTGGCTGAAAAGAACGCAGAGAGATACTGTTTAGCTGGAGAGGCGATCGCGTTCCTCAGGGAGAGCAAGTTTAAGCTCATGCAAAGATCTTTGGCTTCGGACCTGAGGGACCCCGAGGGTCTTCTTTTTAACTTTATAAAGTTCTTCCCCAGGGTGGTTTATACCATCCCTTTTTCGTGTGGCGGGGAGTATATAGGGCAGACCGGGAGGTGCCTAAATGACCGCCTGAGGGAACACTCGCGGGAGGTGAACGAACCCCCCGACGACTCCATGCACCCAATAGTTGTACACCGCATGACGTGCGACGGTTGTTCGCCCAGATACGAAGGTACGCGCGTATTGGGAGGACACCGGCAGAGGTTTGGCAGGGAAGTCGCCGAATCGTACGCCATCAAGAGATCGGTAACTAACGTTGCCTCGGCCTCTCTGGCCCTTTCCGAGCGGGAGATGAAATTCCTCCGTCCCGAACTGGGCGGAGGGGACCAGAGACCTTGAGGGAAGGCCGCGAATAACCCGTTTTTTCCCCTCCTCCTTTTTTCACCCCCCCCCCCCTCTTTTCCCTCTCTGCTCCCTCCCCAGAACCTGCTCGATGGCCGTTGTTTGAACGGAGACGAAATAAATGTCGTTGTGAGTTGAAAGAGTTGTATCGTCTGTTTGCGTCCCGAATTTGTGTTTATTCTTTCCGGTTGCTTAAGTATTTACCAACATGCTCGTTTTTTAACGTTCTAACATGTCTGTGATTTGCCGCACGCAACTGCCTCCAGTGAGCTGCACCATCTGGGAGAACGGGGAGTGCAAGAAAGTGGACCTGTCTGTCATGGACATTGCGTCGGCCATCATCCACAAGGCAAGTCCTCAGCCGCGGACCGTTCCGACATTTCCGGCGGACGGCAGAGGGCTCCCTGCAATTTCGGACGAGGCATCGGATAACTGGCAACTCTAAGTTTATGCACTTAGGATGGCTGAGGTACAGTGCTCAAAACGCGTCTTCGACTGCGGGCAGTCATTGCTGTGCATCGGAAGCGGTCCCGAAGTGGCAGCGGACAACGTTGCAGAAGCTGGAATGTCCTGCTGTCGGACGTTGCAGTCTTAACGGTTAGTGCTGGAAGACCCGGCAGAAAGCAGGAGCGAACGCGAGCGTCAGTGCGGTGAAACGAGCGTCTGCTTCATCCACTGCCGCCACCGCGACGCCATTGGGATCGCGGCGGGCAAGAGCGCGATGCCGATCGGAGACGCGTTCTGGGGACCGTAACCGAAGCGTCGTTGCTGCGAAGCATGGCTCCCTCCATGGCTCCGCCTCCAACCTCGTTTCCTCCGTCCATTCCCCCAGGTGGACTGCATGATCCACAGCACGGAGTATGTCCTGCTCGGCCTGTTGCTGACGGCCGTGACGTCCACGCTACCCCTGCTGTTCCGGCTGCAGAGCTCCTCAGCCCTGGACGGCATTCAGCTGGACGCCGACGCGCCGGTGCTGGGACTTCCCCGGGAGGTGCGCCGAATCCCCGAAGTCATCCAGGACGCGCTGTGCCAGTCGAGCTGGAGGTGAGGGCATAACACTCGCGCTCTGACGACCAGTACAGTCGTCAGAGCAGATGATTGTACGGTCGTTTGCCTTGGTGCACCTTTGAGGTGCCAAAAGCAGACGAAGCTTCGAAGGTGCCGAAAGCGGACGACCAATACATTAGCCTGCTTTGGGCTCTTTCGAGCCGCAGTCATGCCGCTAGTATGTCGCGCAAAAGATGGTCGGTGGACACCATCTGAGGCGTGTTTCTTCCTTGTATAACAGTCCCTGTCACACTGGTCACATGAAAACTGTCTGCAGATGCATTTGGAGCGTGCATAGGTACGAAGCAAACATGCTCGAGGATTGCCCACAGTTAATTCTGTTGTAGTGTCTGCGACGAACGGCGTCTTTTGAAGGACGCACGAGCGGCGTGACCATGGCTTTAAGATTGCGTTGCGCATTTGGTTACGCAGCGGGAAGTCGAGGCTAGTTCGCACATTTGCGTTCGAGTGTACTCGAGCGCATTGCGTTTTTTTGTAGTCGTTTGCAAGGAGAGAACAAAGTAACACCATTTATTAGGTGGCCCAGGAACACTTCTGATCTGTGCATATAACCAGAGAAGGTTCTGCAGTATTTGCGCGATCAAATCTATGCACCATTTACGAGAGAGGGTCACTCATTATGTTGTCGAAGCTATTTCAAACCCACAGTGAAAGAGTGACGCGTACAAAGTGATAAAAGTTGACACACAGGTGGGAAGGGTTCGAGGACTGGCCGACAGATGGCGGGGCAAACCAGTGCCTTCTCTCATCCAAGTTTGAACGTGTTTGAGTGCGCGCTTCAGCACACTTAAACGTAAATATGTGAACCAGCTTTAAGAATTGGGTTGCACACACCTTTAGGCGGCGGGGGAGGTCAGCCGGCCCCAATGGGCGTCCGGTGTCTCCGTCATAATCGAGAAGTTAAGCCAGTCCGGTGCCACTGCCAGCCTGGGGCCTTTAACGTGCACCGCGCGGTGGTGATACACCATCTGACACCGGTACGGCACTCGTCCGGATCGCAATGGGCAAGGGCGGGGATCGAACCCAGGATCCTTGGGTTCCGCAGCGCGAGCTTTCGCTCCACGTGTATTGAGCAGCGGTGTGTTAACGCATTCGGCCACAGGTCTGGCGGACAAACCTCCAAAATCTGTGATTTTCGGAAAAAGGTGGACTCATGGTGCATGGGGTCGCACGAAATTCTGGACGAAAATTGAAGTAAGACAGCCCCGAAGAGATGCAGGGGAACCGCAGAAAATGTTTGTGGAAGAAAAACATGTGCTGTCAAGAGTCTGTTTAATTGAACTTTTATTCACATTGGAAATGATGGCATTTCGGCGGGGGATTTCACAAAGATTTGTCAAAGTGAATATAGTCTGTTTAAGGGACATTCATTTGAACGGGATTTTACATAGTTCTAGCTCTGAAAATAATTTATTGGCAAACTTAGTTCATGTTCTTGGTGTGAACTACCGAAAGAGCCCTAATGTGGCATTGCACTGTGTAACTTTTCTTCTTAAAGAGCAGAAAAAAACAACAACCCTGTCTTGCTTTTTTCCAGCGTTTCATCGACACTCCTGACCATCTGCCTGGTGGAGCGTTTCTCGCTGGGAGCCATGTTTTTCTTCCTGCTGTCAGTCGCTGAGAGGACCTTCAAGCAGGTGAGAGAAGGTTTTGGATGCTTAATTTCGCGACAAAACTATGGTTGCCACAGCCACACACGGTGTGGAAACGGCAGGAGGGAGCTTTTGGAGGCCAGCATGTGCCGGAGACCAGACGTTCGAAGGACCACGCTTTGCCGTTCCCATGCTGTTGGTGGCCATGACAATGCGAGAACGGCGGGGAGTCTTTTTTAGGAGGCCGGGCCTCTGGCACACACTCATTGCCTTCCTTGGTGCTTTGGCTGCGTGTGCATGCTCGAGGTTGACGAAATGCCAAAGCACTATCGAGGGTTGGAAGTTCGCGCCGGAGCTGGTACGACTGAAGAACCTCTCGTACTGTTTTTGCCTCGTCTGTAATTATAGTGTGTCATCTAGTTTCAAAAAAGAAGAATGTGATGCGTGATTTTGTAACAAAACTAATCTGTCTCCTAAGCAAGCACAAAAAAAAAAGCACACTAGTAGCTTACTCGACAGAGCGCAGTCCTCCTACGGCAACATTGTGGACGGCGCAGAACCGCAGTCGTGTTGGTCGATATATAGGATTCGTCTTGACGTGTGTCCGTTGAATAAACCTAACTTACTACGGAAGGCGATGGAAGAAAAGTCTCGCTTATTGTCAAATTTGGAAGCATGGAGTGCACCGTGTGTTGCGTTTGTTTTTTATCATCAAAATGATGCAGCGAAAATTGGTTTATGCAATTGAGTGCCCTGCAAAATTGGAGATGGGGAGAAAATGGAAGAAGACAGATCCCATAAAGAGCTCCTGGTTGATACAGATTCTAGGATTGCCAGGTTTTGCGGCGCGAGCTTTCGCCCCACGTGCACTGAGCTGCAGTGTGCCATCGCACTCGGTCATCGGGCCTTTTGTTTCCCAAACGTACACATGCATATACCGGGTGTCGAAGACTGCACTTTGGGCTGCTGATTTGTGAATGCTTAAAAGGTGTATACGAGGGGTTCGCAGGGTTCCCCTGTCTGCCTTGAATGGCGCCCGAGGAACCGCTCCTGGCGTTGTTGCAATAAAGTGGTGCAGAAGCCCATAGATCTTGTAAGCAATAATGCGCGCCCCTGGCGAAAATCAGTCGACTTCCAGCTGGACCGCCTCATTTCCAGTTCCATTATCCAGCTGGAAGTGAACCGATTTTCTCCTGGGGCGCACATTCTAGGTAATGTCTGGCATATACAGGCACCAATGGCTGGCTTCGATTGACCGAACAAGTCCTTAAACTGTGAAAACACTTTGCTCTGGGGTAGGGATGGTCAAGAAACTTGGAGGACAGGGAAGCCCCGAAGGATGCTCTGTGGAGCAACTGAATTTATAAGAACTCTGCTTAAAAACCCTGGCAATGTGGAGCACAAGTTTGTTTGCTACCTGGGTAGACCTCAAGGCAGCTACCCATTATCCTTCAGTCAGGGCCAATGAGAGCTTGGCATTCTGAGGTCACCACAACCCCCGACAAAGAAGCAGACAAACTTGCACTCCGCATATGGATAGCTTGCTATATGGACAACCTATTTTGGTAATGAACTGGGTAAATACATGCATTTGTGCCTCATTATGATGGAGAACTCGCATTACAGGCACTTTTATGGGGGAACGGAGGTGTCCAGATGAATGAGACATCACTACATACGCTTATTGTTGCATTTGCTTTGTGAACAAAACTTGTCTGGGAAGCATTTTTGGGCGCTCAGTGGTTTTTGTACCCCAAATACGAATGGGGTGACGTGAACTCCAACATTTCCTATGTCTTTATTTGCTTTATTTTTTTCTCAAAACCGGGATTTGATGTCCATTCCTCAATTTTAGTAAGATATGAAATCCAGTTTCGGTAGATCCAAAACAAATCTGTGCATGTGCGTGTGTGTCCTCGCAGAGGTTCCTCTACGCCAAGTACTTCTGCCACCTTACTTCAGCAAGGAGAGCCCTACGCTCGGACCTTCCACACTTCCGGCTAAACAAAGTGCGGAACATCAAGACCTGGCTGTCCGTGCGGTCCTACCTCAAGGTGACTGGGAACGCGACACCACCGTCCTTAGGTTACCTGGACTGGAATCTTTTTGTTGTGACGGGAAAGATTTTTCCCGGAGACAAATTGAAGCGCCAGAGGCTCACTCTCGACGTTACTAGTCGACACATTGGATCGCTCGAAGAACCAAACGGGTGGACGTGGGTTTGGATAACTCAACGTGGAGAAAGTGGATGGATGCGTTTACTCTTTCGTAAAAGAAGTTTTAATTGGGAAATGGCAGTCAATGGAGCTCTCGATTACATGGAGCTGAATGGTGCCAGTTAGTGAAAACAAGCCCCATTTTCCCATTAAAGTTTCAGAAAATCACTTATATCTTTTGATTACGATGGCGGTTAGCTTTGAAACTTTGCCACCTGGTTCGGACCGATAGCGCCACATTTGGGCGGAGAGTAAACGTTCGGCGATGCACAGGTTATTTTTGCCGCAAAAAAAACACTAAATATTTTTTTGGGACACACTGCATCGGCCCCACTTGTGGTGACGATATTTACTAGGGCGGAAACCGCCAAAGTTTCCAGACCGGTAGGTAGGCACGGTCTATCTAAAGACCTTTGCGACGTGGCTGATGCAAACTAACGCTTCTCCGTTTTCCTGTCCTTGCGGAAAGGTGTCGAGACGACCAACGGTTTTGCCATCCCTCGCTTTCAGAAACATGGTCCTCAGAGATCGGTGGATGTGATCGTGTCCACCGCCTTCATCATTGGAGTCTGCATTCTCTCCTTCCTATGTGTCCAGGTAGGACCTTCACACGTGCTTGTCTCTTATTTTGAGTGTTTTTGTGTCACTAGTACGCAGCTTTCTTCAAATTCAGGGCGTTCTTTTATTTTTTTTTAGGTTTTACGGATTGTTGGTTAACGAACTACAATTTTTTAATTACCATAATATCCTGAAAGATAGCTCGCCTAAAATCGAGACCAAATTAGATGAAAATAAGTAGTGGGTTAACTTTCAATGCGCAATCAAGAACAGTTGAACAGAAGCTTTTTTTTATATCATGTGTCTGCGCCAAACTTGTTACCGTGTCAAGGGGCAATGAAGCGAAGATGATTGTACTTCCCAGTCAGGAGCATTCACTTATATCCCGCCATTGTTAAGTGTACGCATTTACGCCGAGGTCATTGTTGATCCGAACACTATGATTACTAGAAGTTGGCTATCTTTCGGTGTTTCAAAGAAAATCGCAAATCAAGCCAAAAATAGGGTGTGGGTTACCTTTCGGAGGTGGGGCGTCTCTCGGGATTTTATGGCAACTGTTTAACTACCGAGCGTACATACGCGCTTCTATACTAGTTTTCAGCTCAAGAACTCTAGTAAAAAGAGTCCGATTCCTTGCGGAGCCTTACTTATTTTCCTTTTATGTGGAGAATCAAGATATATGTAGATGCGTTTTAGATTAGACATGTGTCATTTTCTCGAGTCGTAATCATTTCAAATGCCAGAAACATTGCTTCTTTCTCCAACAACCAAACCTTATAAGAACCACTTCGCGTAGCATATGAACAATACGCTAAACGTCCCGTATTCTTGAGGTGAAAACGAGCATAATTGGCAAACTTGCTGAGCGTCATTGAAAACGACTAAATCGGTCAATTTTAGAAAGACTTGAACGCACGGTGTGTGCGAACGCTTGACCACGTGGTTTTTCTGTCCCTTGTTGTCCACCTTTTTCGCACTGTCAGCTTTCCACCAGTTGCACGAGCAGCACCTTTAGCACACTACCATTCATCCCGCACACTCTAGAACTTTCTCAAATTTATATATTTAATAGTTTCCAATGATGCTCAGCAAATTTATGATCGGAATCAAATGTTTAGTTTCACTAAATAAAAAGTTCAGTAACGGATCTTAGTTCATTGTCCAACTTATCGTGACGATCGGCCTCCTATCCTATGTTCTTCTGGCCATATATATAACTCACCTGCACAGACCACGTTAGTGTGGAAATCTGTACGGGCTAGAAAAACACCCTCTACGTGTAAAAGTGGTGAGGGTGCCAGAAACGGGTGTGGGTGGCGCAGTGGCTAAAGGAAAATGAGCAGTTTGCGGAGCGCCTCTACTGCTGGGAGATGGTGTGCTGGAGCATGGCCCTGGGGATCTTCCTCATGCGCTTCATGATCCTCGGCTCCAAGATCAACAAGAAGTACCGAAACCTGTCGGTCCTCATCACCGAACAGGTGCGTCGCCTATACTGATGATCACACTTGTTACTGATTACTCTTTACCTGATGCTTTACTACGAATTACTTTTTACTGATTTCTCGTTGCAGGTTATTTGTTACTTCTTACGGATTACTTGTTACTGATCAATGATTGCTTCCTACTGATTAGTTCATACTTATATTATGAATTATTTGGTACTTACTACTGATTGCTTGGTACTTCTTACTGATTAGTTTGAACTTATATTATGAATTATTTGGTGCTTAATTATTACTGATTGCTTGGTACTTATTACTGATCACTTGGGACTCGTTACTTTTTACTGATCGCTGGTTATTGATTGCTTGCTATTGATAACTCATTAAATCTCACTGATTGATTTTTACTGATTTTTGTTACAGAATATTTATTTCTTACTGGTTACTTCTTACTAATTAATGATGGCCACTACTGATTACTTGGTTCTTATTACTTATTAGTTTTTACTGCTCATTAATTACAGATTACTTGTTGCAGATTATTTGTTACTTGTCTCTGATTACTTGTGGTGCCACGGTCGATGACTGAAAAGTTTCAGTATGTAGCCGAAGAAATCAAAGTGTTAATTGTGTGTAGTAAATAGCATAAGCTAATCATGAACAGAAGGGTAAATCGAGTTTTTTTCATGACAAATCTATAGTATATATCAGGGGTCTCAAACACGCGGCCCGCGACTTGCTGGGACGCGGCCCACAAGCAACCGGCTACGTGTCCCGGTTCCCATGTATCGAGCGCTAGAATGGCATGCGCCATAGTAATCTCATCTCGTCTACTCATTTTCACTCGAAAAGTAGCTGAGCTCTTTCGACGTATTCACATAGTTTATACTTATCTGTGTTCATTTGTTTTCATTTATATTTTGCTTCCCGGCTTTTCGTAATGTACAACAATTCTGCTACTAGTCTACAAGCACGAGCTATTCGTTTCAGGATGCATTTCGGCGGCGCAAACTCTCGACCAGTAGGAGCAACTGCCAAAAATGAAGCTATGAACTCAAGATACTCGCAAAAAAAATGTATCACCGTTAAAAGACAAGTATTTGTTTAGGGTGTTGTAATAAGAATCACCAGGAAAGCAAGAACTGCCAAATTATCTGATTGTATTTTTAGAAACATGTTGAGCTTGGTTTATTCCCGAGTTAATTGCGCAACGGAAACGACAGTATACTTGTTCTCTTGATCTATTAAAAATGGCTGCAAGTTGGCGGGGTGGTGTCATTTTAATTCTTGTTATCACATCAGGTCAGGTCCCAAAGTAGTCATAAAACAAATGAAATCAAAACAGGTCACTTGCAAAACAGTGATTTTCAAGAAGCATAAAGAGCGGACGTCTTTATTCCTCAAAATTCCTGACCCCCCCCCCCCCCCTCCGGTCTTGCGTTGGCCCGCGGCCTTTCCGGTGTGGGCTGTCTGGCCTCCACACTCGATTGAGTTTGAGACCACTGGTATATATCAATATCTTCACCTTATCGGCACCTGAAATGCCAGTACAAGTATTAGCTTCTTTAAGTAAGTCATCAGTATAAGAAATATAGCACTATCCATTGCCTTTTTTTTTTCAGTAAGGACCAACGAAGAGCGTTGACATTGCAATAAATAGCTATTTCATAGGCATTGCTAAAAGGCCTTCTTGATTCGACGCAGACACACCCAACCCTAGAAATATCTGGGTATGAAACGTGCTTCAACTGTTCAACTACACGCGGCTTGTTAAAGGATCCCTGAAAAGAAAAATGTTTTTTTTAATAGTCTGGTTGGGACACGCTTGTCAAAAAAAAAAATTTTTATGCGAAAAAAAAATTTTTTAGAGCAATGTTGATGGCGCGAGACGCGATTTAGTTGGTAGTCACCTCCTTTCCACTTGTTTTTTCACTCGGCATTTCGGGCGTGTGGGGGAGAGATGGATCGGCTTGGCCATCCCGTTGAGGTGGAAAGAGGGTATGACCATTCCGTGACGTCATGGACTTTGCGCAGCAAAATTTAAAATAAATCTCATGCCGTAAATATTGCTCTAAAAAAAACATTTCCGCGCAAAATTAGTTTTTTGACGCGCGTGTCCCTACCAAATTGTTAAAAAAAAATTTTTTTTTCTTTTCAGAGCTTTTTGTTTTTGGTTTTTCAGTGATGTGTCACACAACCCAGCACTCAATTCTTTAAATATATAAGTTGGCTTGTGGGAAGAAACTTTTAAGACAGCACTAATACCATACGCCAAACAAACATTTCACAGGGCTACCTTCTTATCAAAGGCAAACAAACAACCTGTGTGGCTTTATGGAAGGAAAGCAACTCCTTTATTGTCCTTCTCTCTCATATACTCAAAGTAGCAAGGAATGGGTGAAGGTTGCGGAAGGTTTGAAGGAAGAGAAACTGGGCAAAAATAAAGAGCACAAAATGTAAATTTAGGTTTTAGGAAGGCATAGAAACTTAAACTTTTTTTGTGTGTGTGTGTTTGTTATCTTGCAGATCAACCTGTATCTACATATGGAGCAGAAGCCACACAAGAAAGAGGAACTGATGCTTGCCAACAATGTGCTTAAATTGGCTGCAGACTTGCTCAAGGCAAGTTATGTGCACTTGGACCTTGTTCACTTCAAGATTTTCCTTCCTCTCTTTATTGTTTTCTTAAAAGGTCAATAAATGAGCCAGATCGTGGATCTTTTTTTATGGAGAGCCGCATGACAGCAACTAGGATGTTAATTGCAGAACCTAGAGATTTGGCACAGCGGACACACTTCAGCCCCAGAAAATTTGATGGTGAAAAAAGTTTTCTAAAGTATCTTAAATTTGAACCATGTCTGAAGTCTATCGGTCTTAAACCAGGCGTTTGTCCACTTCGTTGCAATCCAGAGCTAAACTGAGTATGGCATTCAACTCACTGCAGATGTACAAATGCATCAATTTTTTCCGTAGATATATCTGTGGGAATCCTACAAATCACTGCCATTAACCCCTTAGCTGTTTTGGGTTTTGGTGACTTTCTCGCTCTCAACTAACTTAATTGTTGTTTTCAGAATCAAATTTGTTGCCTTCAAAATCAAATTTCTAACCACAAACAGAATGGGAGGAAATTTAAAGAAAGTTGGTGCTACCCTCTGTTGGCAGAGCCACAAACTAAGCCATGAGCGAGCCTGGGTTGTCTAAAACAGTACAGTGCAAGAACTGGGGAAAGCAGACAAGCTATACTTCTCCTGAACGGTCTGGGGCCTAGCCCGTGTTAACGAGCTAGGTTTGTCCAAAATGGTTAAGAGGCTAATACTGAGTTCATTAGAATTTTATCTCATTATGTCACTGCTTTTCTTTTTATTGCAGGAACTTGAGAGTCCGTTCAAGATATCTGGTCTGTGTGCCAACCCATACTTGTACAACATCACCAAGGTCGTCTGCCTCTCGGCGTTTTCGGCCGCACTCACTGAGCTCTTTGGATTCAAGCTCAAGCTGCACAAAATCAAAATCAAGTGATGCCGGGTCCCTCCCCTGTATCCGCTCAGGAACGGGTAGTGGAGCAAAATCAGTACCAGAACATGTGGCACTTCGTAGAAACATTTCTTCTTTTTCCTTCCTCTTCCTCCTCCTCCTTTTTCCTCGATCTCCCTCTTTCGTTGCTGCCATTTTCTTTTCTTGTTTTTTCCATCCTTCTTTCATTGACATGAAGTGGTCATTGGGAGCGTCTGTCCTTCGCTCTCGTCTTCCGAGGTTTTAGCGGTATTACATCATCCCTGCCTTGCGCGATTTTATCGAAGAGATCTGTGTTTGCATAAAGAATCTGTTTTTTTTTTAATGTACACTTTTTTGTTTTGTTTTTAAGAATGTCTTCTCATGATGCGTTTTGTGTGTCTGCGTGAGCTTGGGTTGTGAGTAGGAACTTAAGGAGAGCGTTGCGGAGGAGCTCTTTGACTTAACTTGCAGGGTTTGTTGGAAGTTCGAGTTTTCGAACTGAAAATAAAGAATGTTTGGTTTGAGCTTGAAGCCCCCTCTTTTGTGCTTTATGAAGGTGACATCGCCGAGCCCTGTAAAAAGCATATAGTGTGGCAACTCTGATCTGCTGCGACCACTAAAAATACACATTTAGCAAGTCCTTAATTTTACCATAAAAACATGCACAAAGTATCAATATGCCATTGAAATTTTTATGCACTCTTTTGAATAGGAATGTATATTTCTGCATAATTATCCTGCTTAGTGAAGTGATTTTAAACCCAGACAAGATGCTCGCTGTATTGCTTCGACAGTACGCCGCAAGTAATTGATGAATAGAAGTAATCCGCACTCAGGAATTTCACAAATGGTCTTGACAAGCACCGAAAAAAGGCAGGTACATGAAGTTGACATAAACACTGGTGCACTCACAACTAATACTTATTGAAAACCCAATCCCTTATATGCCGCGAAAAATGTCAGTCATGTGACTACAACCAGTGAAGCCCTCTATCAAGAAGTTCATATTCCTTTGCCGATAAGGTTATGAATGTGTTACTTGTACACATCGTGCCTTTGGCTATGATCTCAAATGCCTGGTGTAGCTCTCTAGATACGTTATCTGGGTATCTGGCCAAACATTTGGTGGCCTCAAATGACTGGGAGCAAGGGCAGCGGCTGCAGTGCGTGGCCAGATGTCTTGACAGGGTTGCTCGCGTTGCCACGTCGTGTTCGCGTGCGCGATCATTAAAACATCGGTCTGTCTGACCAATATATACAAACCCGCATGACATTAGAATTTCATAAACAACTCCTGTCGTGTATTTTGTGAATTTGACAGCTTGTTGGGTGCCGGAAAAAGCACTGGTACACAGGAAACCAGCCCTCTGCAAACATGCTACCTGTTTCTGTCCGGATCTGGCCAGATCCGGACCGCAGAAGTCTTTCGACCAGCCCTCGGCTCGTTTCCAGCTGACCTGCGTCTACCGGCGCCAAAGTATGTGCATCTGAGCAAACTAAAGCCCTTCTGCAAACCAGCGCTGCAAACTGAGCAAGGCTGCCACCTCATGACGGGGGCGAGAGCACGCGGTGAACCTGCAACATGCTCAGAGAAGCAGCAGAATAGGGTGCCTTCATGTGCGCTTTGGGGTGGTGGCATCTTGCCATTTTGTCCTACAATTTTACTTTTATTTTTTGTTCAGAAGCGCGTGAAAGAGCGTGTCTCTGCACGGGTTTGCGACGCTGACTGTGCTATGGCGACATTTTGTTTTTGTTGATTTCTTTGTATTTTCCCCGCGAGCACGTGCTGTCGGCATCGGGTACTACAAAGGGTGGCATCACCCTAACCCTAAACAGAAGGACATCAGTGGACATTGAGGCACCCTACAGCAGAAAGGAGGGCTCTGTTCTGATAGGATCATGCATGCGAGTCCGGACGTATTTTTGGCACATTGATGCTTTAGACCAGGGGTGGCCAAACCGCGGCTCTTTGCTGGTCTAAGTGCGGCTCGCGGATTCCTCGTAGGGGACCTCCCCCCCCCCCCCCTTTCGCTCCTTTCCGCGTTGCCCCAGGAAAAAAAGAAAGGATTTCGAAATAAAGCACAGTTGCGGTTTGACAGCCTTGTGCCCCCATACGTACAGTCAGGCTCTATACAAAATTTAAGTTTGCCCCACCCCATCCCCCCCCCCCCCCCCCCCCCCCCGCGGCTCTTAGAAGTTTCGTGGGTTTGTTTGCGGCTCTTCAGCCGGGTCAGCCTGGCCACCCCTGCTTTAGACCCATGTTGTTGTAAAAAAAACTATCTCCAAACTCTGGTTAAAAACATGGTTTTCGTGCAATGCACTGGAGAAATGCAACATTCTGCGTTAATTCCTTATTCCGAACTCTTTTTGTTCGCCTTCCGCCCATTGAAAAGAATGCGGGAAGGGTCTTAGAGCACACCTGGTATCGCTGCGCCGCAGCGTTCTTCTGCAACATAAGGTTTGTCACCCGTTTGCTCTACTGACGTCTAACCCCTGGTTAGCTCAGTTGGTAGAGCGCTCCACCTGTAATGGAGAGGTCCCGGGTTCGATACCCGAACCAGGTGGCTTTTTTTGGTCGCGCACCAGTCACCTAGCTGTTTTTGGAGATTTGTGTTTGTCCTTTGTCCCTCTTGTTCCCCTTTTCCAGGGATTATTTTCATTGTCTGCTTTCCTCGCCGTCACCATGGTAACGAACGCCGAATGAATGGAAGCACGCACGGTACCGCCGCGTGAAGCCAGCAACAGCTGACGCCATTTTACGAACGCCGTCTGCTAGCTAAAGCCGAACGCGGTGTGTCAGATCAACCGCCTTCGCCGGTGCGCCGCTGGCAAAGACGACGAAGCTGAGACATGCCGGAAAACACCTGGTGGTATTAGTGTATCGTTTTGAAAGCGCTACAAAAACACGTCGGGGACACTGGACTTCTGGACCAACTTGGAGTGCGTGCGTGTGTGATGGTGTATGTATGCCTTTCTTTCCTCTAAACTTCTGTACTCCAGCTTACCCTTCCCTAAGGAGTACCCACACCAAGAACTTGGGCTGCCTTCTCCAGATTTATAATGGATATTTCTTTCCATCTCGGTAGGTTACCATTGGAATGCGATGTTGTCGGCGTCTGTGTGAGTCCTCGTGCTCTTTTTCGTGTTCGAATTGTTGATTCTACGTCTTCCTGGGCAATGTGTGACTACTTGAGCAGCCAATTATTGACAATTTTTCACACACGTAGAAAACACATTACATTTTCTTTTTCAACTCTCAGGTGCGCCCCATTTTGTGTACATCATGTCACCTGTGAATGAAAAAAAAAAAAAAAAAAAAGCTTGGAAGGATGAAAATACGTAGAGGACTGACCCTTCCTTCGCAGCTTTCAGATGTACAAAACACACAAACAGCTTTATTGTGAAACCTGAGAGATGTGATATTACAGTAAAAGAACAGAAGCAGAAGAGTAAGAACACTGGGAGTTCCAAACCGGAACCCCAATATATGAGGCCCTAGCCAATATCCCACCCGTCTGTCTCTTTTTCTTTGTGTAAAATATGAGTGTCCCCCATTCTGGCTCACGCTATTTCTGATTGTGTTTTCCTTTGTTGGAGTGGTCGACGACTGAAAGGTAGTCAATTGTTTAGTGGTGAAGCTGCGGACTTCTCATTTTTACGAGTTTGGGTGAGTAAGGATTCTCACAACGGGCACGAAAGCAGCATTTGGAGAGTTCAGTCTACGTCCGAGCAGACCCATATACGTCCGGGTTGAAAAGGCGCTACCGTGCTTGTGGTAATAGTGCAATCTGTTTGGTTTGCTCCACTGCGCCATGGGAAGACTGATTGAACTTGGCAAGCATTGCTTCACTGCACATTGTGAAAACCCCGAAGTTTGTAGAAGTTTAAAGCCTTTCTCCTTTCTCTCTCCTCTCGACTAGCCAAAACAGAAACACTTGCTTTCGAAACTGATTAGAAGTTCGAAAATTAACTAGACGAACATCAAAGTTCGGCGTTGAACTGAGGACCGACAAAAGTTCGCTGCATTCTTAGAAATAGCCCAAAAATAGCCACGTGACATAGCCAGTCACAGAATTTTGACGCCAACTAGAAAAGAAGTAGCCCAATTTTGCCCAATCTGGCAACATTGCCCTTAGCTTGCGTTTCATAGATTAGTGGTTGAAATTATACTAGGGAAAATAAAATGATGGACAACTAACTAGCACAGCTGGGGACAGGCGGGACAGAGGAAAATTGGGACTCCCTCCCGCGTGGCTTCGGCCCAAAGTCTCAACTAGGGGTGTCGCGAACCGGCCGCGGTTCGAGTTCGACCAGGTTCGACTTTTTCGAACTTTTAGTGGAAAGTTCGTCGAACCTTGTATTGAGGTTCGACTCGTGTGCGCATGCGCGACAGGCTGGCCAGTTGGCTCCGGATTGGATGGTAATGGCTAAGAGATGAATTAAGTGCAGCGCTGATCGGCTATTTCAGTCAATACAGTACTAAAATTTAAGTTATTAACCTCTTCAGTGAATAGAATTAGTTTCTTTTAATTGTAGTTGTTCACACAATAAAATAACCCTTTGCATAAAAAAAGAAATTCTCCAAACCTAGACATGCTTGTATCAAGGTCTGGCCACACTGTCCACAAAGTCGAACAGAGATCAGTGGTCGAACCGAGATCAGTGGTCGAACCACTGATCTCTATGTCTATTTGCTGGATCGCGTTTGACCAGCTTCGCCTATGGACTGAAATGCGGTCACTGGCGGCCGTCTTTAGGTAGAGTTATATCATCTCTAGCCATCATAGTAATATGGCGGACAGCGCAATGGCGGCCGGGTGCCATAAGATAGCCGTGGATCTAGTACACTGTACCGTGAGAGATAATTCGTGCTTGATTCAAGTTGTTCGACGACGCAGATTCTTGAAACCTGGCGTGAACGGTAGCCTCATCTTTGAGGGCCCGGAGAAAGTTCTACGAAAGCGCAGCACCGGGGGAAAGCAGCGCAGCTCGCATCGAAAGCAGACTCCGTAACGGCGTCTGTTTTCGATGCTTCCTTCGATGCGACTTTCGATGCGAGCTGTGCTGCTTTTCCCCCAGTGCTGCGATTTCGTGAAACTTTCACCGGGTCCTCAAAGATCGCACTACCGTTCACGCTGGGTTTCAAAAACATGTTTCGTCAAACAATTTCAATCAAGCACGAAATATCATCCACCCTATTTTGACGGCAGCCTGCCACCACACCTGCTAAAACGCTGTCTGCCATGGATGGATTACAGTGGCTGCAGGAGCTGTACCTTGGCTATAGGTAATATAACTCTACCTAAAGATGGCCGCCAGTGACCGCATTCGCAGAGCGGGCAAACGCGATCCAGCAATTGTCATTGAGATCAGTGGGTCGAACCGGTCGATTCTGGTGAAAAGTTCGAAGGTTCGTCGAACTGGTTCGACCCAGTCGAACCCCGAAAGTTCGACCAAAAAATCTGGTTCGACAAAAGTTCGCGACACCCCTAGTCTCAACTAGGGATGCCGCTAACTTTTTTCGAATCGAA